CTATACAGGGTGATTCAAAAGTAAGCGGCATCCTTTCAGAGGCGTATTCCTTGCTTGAAAATAAGGCAAAAAGTTCCTATTGATAAGGATCCGAAAATGCTTCCTAAGGGAGCTACGGCCCTTTGAATAGGACACCTCAAAGACGGTTTTTTCTCTATAACTTTAAAATCCTTCACAACAAATTTTTAAAAATTGGTGTACGGCATAAACATTCGATGGTAAATAGGACTCCGTATTCGAAATTTCAGAATTTCATTCAGGGGCGTCACATGCGGGAGAGGGTAAGTGTAAAAATATCCCTTCTTCTCCGGATATTCAGGTTACTGTGATTTCGTTTGGAAATTATTTCGAATACGGAGTCCTATTTACCATCGAATGTTTATGCCGTACACCAATTTTTAAAAATTTGTTGTGAAGGATTTTAAAGTTATAGAGAAAAAACCGTCTTTGAGGTGTCCTATTCAAAGGGCCGTAGCTCCCTTAGGAAGCATTTTCGGATCCTTATCAATAGGAACTTTTTGCCTTATTTTCATGCAAGGAATACGCCTCTGAAAGGATGCCGCTTACTTTTGAATCACCCTGTATATTTTTATTATTTGTTAAAATTTCAACAGTGACGTATCTCATAATACGGTTGCCGCGGGAATTAAAAAATATCTCAAGTGGCGTCTCAAGGTACTGAAAGGGGGTATTGTAAGGTATTGTACAAGTCGAATGAATTTCTGTGTTTTTCATCAACAAAAATGAATATTTGGATCTGATATTCATTTGAATTCACTTTATATTCATGGACGTATCTAAGGCCACAGTGACAAACATGATCCACGTATAGTGATCTATTTCACGAACATATTAATAATCATCGTTTATGACGATGTTTTGCGCAATCTCACCATATCATAACAACTAGTTCTAGCTCTTTCACTAATGAATAAAAAACAATGACTTCTCATGAACAAACCTCTGAGTTTTAAGCGAATTAAGATGTTGAACACCTGCAAAATTTAGAAAACTGAGATAAGTCACTACGTGAGATGACCGTCGATATGTATTTGCCCTTTGCTGTCAACCATTTCGTACTTACTCTCGGAAACTGAAGGTTTATCGAACTTTTCCACAGGTAATTCTAATCCTTCAGGTTGGGAGAGTAGAATATTAAAGGTAGGCCAGCCATTTATTCATGTCGTGTGATGAAGAATTTTGTGGAAATATTATCGTTTGTGAAGTTTTTCACATTCTTTATGGATTTCCACTAAGAAACGGCCGAGTCAATAAAAAAATAGTTATTTATTATACAAGGGAAAAAGTCTCGAAAAAAGTAGTAGATTTTAGCTCCAGGTTGTGTTGTCTCCCGACGCGTAGCGGAGGGAGACAAAAAACCGTGAGCTAAAATCTAATATTTTTCCCGTCTATAATACACTATTTTTTTCTGTGACAGAAGAACGGACGAATCAATATTGAGAAGATATTACATCATTTTGAAATCTGAAAATTATCGACGTGAAATTTCAAGTTTTTAACAGTAGGGACACCTGCGTTGTAGGCATCTTTATCATTCTTTTGAAGTAATCAAATATCTGATGTTACTTCTGTCAGTCTAATTCTGTGATTTGATTTCAAAAAATTGCGAATTGAGTGGTTGTTTAGTACTATACGTAACCGCGAAGTCGAATGGAAAATAAAAGGACTTGCAGTTCTTTCTCGAAGACGGTATTATTGACTCATTTTTCGGAACTATAGCACAACAAAAGCCATCAACAGTGTATATATGTGATATATATCCGGGAAAAAAGTACTCACTTTTTTCCCACGGGAAAAAAGTAATTTATGAAAAGTGACATTTTATAACCTGCCACCAGAGATGAAATACCAAACTTTTTTTCCGTCTCAGAAAAAAGTATATTATTTTATCTGATATAAGTACTTTTGCAACTATGACAAGATATCCTCATGCAAAGTTATACATACCTACCAAAATAAGGAAACTATTCTTTGCAGAAATAATTTGCCTTATTCTGGGTAATAAACATTCATAACAAACGAAATTTTCTATCAGGGAGTCTAAAAAAAAAATCCAATAGCTTGTCAGTGACACTTTTTTTTGGTAAAATGTTTGAAGAAAAGAAATACTGCTTCCGTTCTAAACATGAAAATGCAAAAATGTTTTCCATCTCAGTGACATACTGATTTTGGCATATGAATGAGTGATGAAAACATCCTGTAACTCATTTGTATACTAACATCACTCATATGAGAAAGAGCACCATTTCCAAATGAATATATCTTCAAACATTTTTTCAAACAAGCTATTGGATTTTTCTCTTAGGCTCCCTGATTTAAAAATTTGTTAAACGCATTGACATTTTGGGGCAAATCATCTGATTCGTCCTTCTACAGATATATTGAAATAATACGCATATTTTTATTTTATAAAAATGAGGAGAAAATCAGAAATAATCAAGTAAAATGAATTTACCACCTCCTCGATTAATCTACAGACAGTATTTAATACCACTCGTCCTAACGGACTCGTGGTGTTGCTCGGCAACACCATTTCGTGAACAATGAAGCGACAAAATTATCTTCCGAAAGCAGTTTTTGCCTGAAATTAAGAAGGCTATGAAGATCCTTATTGTTGCATCACCTTGTAAGACTTGCACAGTTGAAAGGTCATTTAGTAGCCTTAGGAGAATCAAAACCTGGTTGAGGATCACCATGTCTGAAGCTATTTTCAAAAACTTGAACGATTTCGTCAACAAATAGTGATCAGCGAATTCGCAAAGAACCCTAGAAGATTATTTTTCAAATGATTTTCTATATAGGTTTTTTCTGTTTCTTAATTTTTCTTATTAAACTTTTCTCGTTTGATTTTTCTCTTAATTTTTTTATGGTGTGCCCCCCCTAGCTTTCCCGCTTCGACGCCCTTGCAGGTGTGTCCTCAGTTCCTGAAAAGCATTAAACGCGTGAGATCTTTTAGGCAGATATCCTTTTCTCTCTCAGATCAAGTTTCTTATTTGTCTCCGTGGAACACCCTGTATTATAATTTTGATCCCGTCAACCCAATAATGGAAATATATTTCTTCAATGTACTACCAAAAGTTTCCTAGAAAGATACATAATGCGATATCTGAAGATGATTGCCTTTCCTCTAGACTATTAAAATACCGTACTAACATCATTTGCCTGGCTAATGAAGTCAAGAATTACGAATAATTAAAATGTAATATAAAACGAAAGTGCATCGGTATATATATGATTTCTTGATTTCATGGTTTTACTTTCTGTCTGTAGGCCACCTCAAAGAATAGCAGAATATGTGCTGAATTATAATTATCTCATGACATAATGGGATTATACATTTGGCTCACTATTTTATTCGAATTTGACTCGACACTAAATAGTTTTAGAATGATTGGAAAGTCAGGAATAAATACAGTGAGTACACTAAAGCAAAATCCAAATTTTACTACCGATTTAAACGAATTCCTATTCAATGGAAGTAGCACATGTTTGCAAAAAATAATTTAAATTATCCTGGTTTTGATTTTGATGTGCTATGAATTTATGGGACATTTCAAAAATGATTTTTTTTACTTTATAAATTACTAGCATATGAACTATATCTGTTGTTTGCTTCAATTCTGGTTGCAATTATTTCAATAAAAAAAAAAATACTATGTGATTAATTGGATTTTTGATGTTTTAATAACTGATGTGTATGGATGAAAATGGCCAACCTATAATTTTCGAAGTTCAATAATTCAAAAATGGTTACGAATATCATGATATCAATATGGATGATGAGATAAAAGATGTTCGTGTTTCGACGTTACACCAAATGGCCTAAAAATATATGGGGTGTTCCATTTGAAAAACTCGAGAAAAATCACTTCCAAAAGTTCCGAATTAAAACATATTTTTTAGCCACCCTGTAAAATTTGAGGGCATGAAAATTCTACAGAAATATCACGCATGGTTCCATCAAAAGATATTATAGTTATTCTCTATGAATTTCATAATTTTGACTACAGTGGTTTTTTCGGTATATGCATCTGACATTTCGAAAAAAAAATTAATAACTTCGAAATTATGTAGATATATTCGACAATATCATAGCAGTAGATGGAGGTCACAGGGATGCTTCAAAAAACGTGCTAATATACAGGGTAACTCACGGTCGATGGTACGTTAGACGTTTATGGAGAACGGAACATTCAGGATCATTCTGAAATTTTGGTTACTCACGTAGTTGCTCTTGGTCTATCGATCTAAAATATTTTCAGCTCTGCAGCGTTGCCGCTTCTATCGAAAAGTAGCAACAACTTTGTTATTTAAAATGGAACACCCTGTATTTTATTGCATTTTCAGATTTTCTCTGAAGAGCTGATTTCATCGATGTATCACACTTGGGGTCTAGCGGAAATGATTACAGAGATATAGGGTGTGAAAAATCGACATTTTTCAACTTTAGGAATTTTTTTGTCGAAACTATTCATTATTGGTCAAAACGGCTTACATGTCCCTTTCTCAACTTTTGATCAACTATCTACTGATATTTAATTGGGACATATACCGGGTGATCAAGATTCTGAATTCTGCACCACCCTGTATTTGTTTCAATTAAATGTCAGTAGATAGTTGATCAAAAGTTGAGATAGGGACATGTGAGCCGTTTTGACCAATAAACGTAAACGTCTAACGTACCATGGACCGTGAGTAACCCTGTATAGGGCATGCCATTTAGAAAAAGTAATCCTAGTGATCCTCCAGATTTTTTCCGGTGCCCCCTGTATATGCAGCATATAGTTTCTAGTTATGGACCTTGTTGTCTCATTCACATTCGTTTCAGAATGAAGTTTCTAGCTATCATAGAACTCGAGCAATCGAGCTCCGACGCAGTTATGCCCCACCCTGTATACATACACGATTTTGAATATCGTTCCATTATTCTATATTCAGTTTTGGAAATGTTGTTTCAAATAATTTTAATGTTGTTTCAGGAGCAATGTAGATATGGCTACCGATTCGCCTACAGAACGGACAGAAGTCTCCATCTCAGAAGAAATTGGTCCATCCGATGATTCTCTTGACAATACCCTCAAACCCCACAACGAAAGTTGCGAAGAAAGCGAAAGCAACACCACCATACACGGATTCAACATATCCAACATAACAGTAATCGAGAGACAAATAGTTGACCAGGACGATCACACCAAGATAGGGCCCCAATGCGAAGGTAGTGACAGTGGCGTAGAAGTAGTTGAAACTTTAGACGTATGTGCACTAAAACGAAACCTGAGCTCCAACAGCGCCACCTCCCAAGACCTCGACATAAACTGTACTCAGTCCTGCAACTCCTCCATAATAAGCTGTTGCTCCAACTACGATGAAGCCTACAACTTACTGGTGCGGAAAAACTCCACTTTGCTAGAAGATTACCGAAGACACGGTGACGTCACCAGCGAGAATGGTAGCGAGAGTTCCTCCATCAGTGGTTCCCAACTGCGAAGCACCAGAAGAACGTCCTTCAATGGCGCCAAGAAGAAAGTTACAACCACAGAACCGAGAGCCAAGCCGACAACTAAAGATAGATCTCGATCGAAACCCCCAGTCAATCCCAGAGCTTCTACTGGACCAACAAGACTGAAATCAGTCGACAGGTCACAACTCAAACCAAGCCAGAGTACTAAACCAAGCGGCACGAAAAACAAAAACGCTCCTACCAGTTTGGATCTAGCTGGCGGTTCGAAGAAAGATACAAGGAAAGCTTCCTCAGCCACAGTACGGACCTCTTCCAATTCCAGGACTGCTTCAACAACCCCTTCCGATGACGGAAGATGGCCTTCGGTGAATAGCAAACCTGCTCCGTTGATGTCGAGGTCTTTGAAAGGCTCTTTAGATTCGCCGAAGCAGAAATTATCCCAGCTGGATGCTAAGACCATCGAAAAATACGCCACCCTGCCTAGACAGAAGAAGGAAAAGGTTGCAGACAGTGTAAGGGATCAGAAGAAGAGCAGAAGCAGAGAAAACACCCTACACCGCATAGCCTTAACGAAAAAAAGCTCAAGAGATATCAATCCTACTCCATCCAAAACGACCAACAGTCTGTTGTTGCCTAAGAGTAAAGCTAAAACGAAAATTTACCATGAATCTTCTATTCAGACCGTGCTTACGATGTCTGATGTGGAGAATGCTCTAACTGGTGCTACAGTTTCTCCTAAAACTCCCTTAGATTTAGAAAAATGTGATATGTATGTTCAGGTAGAACTGAGCGATCCTGAAGTTGAGAAGCTTCAGAGAATGCTAGGCCAGCTGAACGATAAATTCGAATCATTGCAAGTCGAGCATTTAAAACAGACTGAAAAACTCAAAGAGACTGAATCCAAGTTAACGGATGTAACTATCGAGAAAGAAGGTTTACGGAAAGAACTCGAAAACAATACCCAAAGAGTGTTAGCTATATTAGGAGACACAGGTCAGTATTTCATCATTCTATTACCACAATTATACTTTTTCAACTTCCAATTGACAGTAACTTAATTTTGATAATAATATTCTTACAAGCGTCGTTGCCTTACTTACTTGAGTATGTCACGTGTGGCAAACGATAACCCCTTCGGCGATACGAAACGTATGGCAACGTCGCTTTGTTTCTCTCTTCGTTAAAATGCCCATTCAGGCGGTTGGTCTATCTATAGGAAAATAATTCTTGTCAGACTTGTATAAGAGATCAACAATAAATCGCAGTATATCCCACATTCAGATATTATAATATAAACAATTCACTGTGTATATTATGATATAATAAACTGGGCGTCAATTGAAACGTTAATAGTGAAATGTGGCATCAAGTTTGACTTCTCGTAATTTCTAAAATATTGAACGAATTTTGAATTGCCGCCCAGATTCTGAATGCCTTTTTCATCGTCTTCCGAACCGTTCCTTACAACTTCTTCTGAATTGATCAGGACCCGTGATACAGGGTGAAACAAAGTTCCGTGCATTTTGAGAAGAATTTCTCCGCCCCCCCCATTTTGTCGGAAGACCACGATGCTCATATTTTATTCAGGCATTCAATTAATAGCAACCATACCTCGGGACGTTTTCGAGTTTTTTCCAAAAACTACTGTGGTTTCCGAAAAAAAATTTTTTTTTGCATTTTTTTAAATGTATCTTCAGAACGATTATCAGTCTATTTATTGTCATGACTGACTTATTGAAAATGGTACTTAAATGAATTTGGGTATATCCTAATCGTCGTAACCTGAAATAATAATTATCTGTACTGAATTATGGTTTATATCACTATAATGATCTTACCAAATAATATTTTCCATTTCGACCCGATTTGAACGAGGCATCTTTAAATTTTTTAGGACCCGAATTACACGGACGTTTTCATGAAAATTGGCAATTGATAATATAACCTCTATGCATACCTACATTGTTTCAACAATACGTTGTTATAGAAACAAGGTATCGTTGTTTGTTTTTGTTGATGAGATGTGTTGATTTACTGCTCACTAAGGTAGACAACTTTTATCATAGACTGCGAAGCAATAAATTATTGATTGTTTTTGAATAACCTGGTATACATATCTGCTCCAACGCTTTCCTGAAATGCATAAAAGCATCCATTTATGGAACTCCTCTAAAACCAGTCCATTTAAAAAAATACGAAAAAATTCTTTTTTTTTAAATTTGAAAACGTTCCGAGGTATGGTTGCTATTTATGAAATGCCCGAATAAAATATGAGCATCGTGGTCTTCCGACAAAATGGGGGTGCGGAGAATTTTTTTTTTGAAAATGCACGAAACTTTGTTTCACTCTGTATCACAAGTCCTGATCAATTTAGAAGAAACTGTAAGGAACGGTTCGAAAGACGATGAAAAAGGCATTCAGAATCTGGGCGGAAATTCAAAATTGGTTCAATATTTTAGAAATTACGAGAAGTCAAACTTGATGCCAAATTTCACTATTAACGTTTCAATTGACGCCCAGTTTATAATAATAATATAATCATATATCCCATCAGATTCATATCCCATGTTGATTTCAGATCCTGATAATGCATCCAGTGATAGTCTCATGGTGTTAGAATCGAAGTTCCAAAATGTCGGTCAAGTTGTTGTTCAGCAAGAGGAGGAAATCTCCAGGCTGAATATGCTGTGTAGGTCACTCCAGATGGACCTCGAAAGGCACCTGAGTGCCCAAAGGATATTACAACGACAGCACGAAGATTTGGAAATGGAGAGCATGGAATTGCAGGATTTCATGCAGGCTGAAAAGATGACGCTTCACGATGCTCTGAAGGAATCTGAAATCGAAATCCAGAGACAAAAAACGGTGATAAAGCAGAAGGAAAAAGAAGTAGCTGAACAACAAGAAGAGTATAGACAATTGGTAGGCATGCATTGAGTGTTTTGTAAGTCAGTTTTCCTACGACCGCAAGAATTTTTTATCATGGTACATCTGTCACTCGCCAACTTACCGCTGATCATCATCTTCTGTCATTGACAACCATTTAACAACACCGCCTTCTCATAGGTCGCGTGCACGATGACCGACCCTGGTGGTAAAATACTCAAACACAACCTTTTTTTTTATTTTCTCACAGGGGAATCAAAGGAGTGCGATAGTTTTTCACAATATTTTGGCATACGAATCGTGTTTTTGGCGCTATTCATTAATTCAAGCATGCCTTCTCATTGTGCTGTTGTACAATGCACAAACAATGCAGCTAGAGACGAAGGCATATGATTTTTCAGGTAAATAGTAATCTCACATAGTTCTCATTAAAGTTATCCTCCTCTGGGTGCCAGGGCATATCGGAGTGGAGGGGAATGAACAAGCAGACGCTCTGGCACGACAAGGGGCTTCAACGCCACTGATCGGACCAGAGCCATTCTGCGGCCTTGGAAATTCCTATTTCGAAGGAGAACTTGAGAAGGCGGAAGGAGCCTGGAGAGCCAGACAATGGAGAAGACTTCCAGGACTACGGCAGGCTAAAGATCTCCTTGGAAATTTCAACCGAGAAAGATCTAAGACACTGACAAACCTCAGCAGAGGAAGTCTCAAAGCAATAACGGGATTTCTAACGGGGCATTGCTCAAAGAACACCTAAGGAAGCTAGGATTACAGGAGGACGGCACCTGCAGATTCTGTGAGGAAGAACCAGAAACACCCCATCACATACTGATGGAGTGTGACGCTGTACATCACAAAAGATTGAACATACTGGGAACACACCAGCTGACTGTGGAAGAAATACCACAGCTAGACCCCCTCAAAATCCTCAAATTCCTGAAGGAATTGAATCTCGAGGGGTTGCTATGAACAAGAAATCCTTGATATAGCAGGAGCAGATGGGGCACAATATATCTAATTGGGTCGCAGCGCATCTGTCACCATCCAACCTACCAATACCAATACCAATAGTTCTCATTATGAAATTTTGTCATGTCTTGTTAAAATTCCTTCTGCCACTTCTGCAATAGAAGCTAATACTGCTTAAAGATTGAAAATTTCTACAACACACACGATCATATTTCGTCAGCATGTCAGACCAGTCCTTCCGTTTGATTGCATGAATCCAATCTTCTTGCATTCTTTTAGAAATTTCACGAGTATTTCTATTAGCTTCTATTACAGAAGGAATTCCGATGAGAAATCAGAGAAATTACCAAATTTCAAAATGAAAACTATGTGTGATTCCTTCGTCTCCCGCTGCATTTTTTGTGCATTGTTCAACAGCACAACGTGATGGCATACTTGAATTAATGAATAGCCAAAAAACACTTTCGTATGCCAAAATAATTGTGAAAAACTATTTCTATCACTTGTAAACAAATAAGAAAAGTAAGGTTGTGTTTCATTGTTTCACCTCCAGGGTCGGTCATCTGACAGTTCTTCAACATAGCCCATTGAAATGACAAATGACTATCCTTGTCTACAATAAGAAACCACCATCATAAAGCAGTTTCTTTAAAAATGTGATTACGCTTTCAATACTGAGGTGTTCCAGTGCTCTTCGCTTTTTTGATCTGATGAGTTCATCATTGAAATGCTTCTTGAATTTGAAATATCTCATTTCCAATCCATTCGATTTCAAAAGAGCCAGAGAATTAAGCAACTGAGTGAGTAAGGAATAGTACAATAGTTCACTATTCTACGGGTAGGGATACTATGGATCATATGGATATTGCCCAGCAAACATCAAATCTCTGGCCGCCTTCTGGCCTAGTACACGATAGATCGGCAAATTGCTGGCCATAGCCAACTGCACTGATCAAACGTTGGCCCATTGTAATCGTTTGCCTATAATTCAGCAGGCACTAGGCCAATAGTGTCAATTCATATTATGTTTTTGCCTCCGTTATACAATCGTCTACCCATTATATGACATATTGAAATCGGCCGGCACCGTGCCAAATAGAGTATAATTAAATTTCAGTTTCAATCGGTAATCAGAACATCGAAAGGTTGCTAGGTTCGGATCCCCGGAAGAGCAGAGAATTTCAATGTATAAAACGAGTTATATAAATTATGATTTTCGTAGCCTCGGCCGGAAATGGCGTATGAATTTAGAAACAAAGGCTACACAGAATACTCATGAGCTGAAGGACCTTTTGTCGATGGCCAGTTGGTATGTTACACATATACATACACTACTACTAATGTTTATTCATTGCATTTGTATATTATCATGAAGGTCATCAAATTCTGCCATTAAAAAATAAGCAAGTCGTCTGACTACTAAAATTGGTATGACAGAAATACGGTAGTCGATCGGAGAATCGGATGTTTTTCCTTGTTCAACGTTTGTATAAATCTGTTATGTTGATGATAACTATTATTAGCAATGAAATATTCCTAGTTGAGAGTTAACCGCAAACAAATTCCGTATACACATATCATATTATCATGAAAGGTGTAGTAGCTCAGTTGGAATAAGTGGTAGCGAAGGACCGGGGTTCGAATCCCGTGGCGATCGTTTTTATTTTATTTGAATGTATCGGCAGACGTTTACTGGCCCTGATGACGGCCAGAGTCTCTTATTGGTACTGGCCCATGGATGTTCACGAAAATTTTGCCGTTCTGGCCGACCAAAATTGTTTGCTGGGTGTTAATGTTAGTGGTGAGGTTGAGTTAGGTTAGAGAAAGAGATTTTTGAGAATCGTTTGGCAATAAATAGAAGGTAAGCACTGTTTCTATTTGATACACTGAGGAATTCATTTGACCTTTCAATTTCAGTTTGAAGCTTACTCACCTATAGTAAAAGGTAGGTAGGACAGTTATTTTTTCCCAACTCTTCTTCACACCATTTTTACTGAATGTCACACAACACTTCACACTCATGTCTAACAGAGTCATTTCAATGAAGTGACCACTTGAGTTCGATTTTCCACGAGAAAAATCTATAACCACTTAAACATTTTCAAAACTGAAATCACCTCATCAGTGTGCTAGTTTCCCTGCGAAGAAAAATCATCTAAAAAAAAAATGTTCATACCTAAAATCACCTCAAATCGAAGATTTATAAAAACTAAAGACAGTCTCAGGCAGTAACTACCTATTATGGAAGTTTCCCATCACAAAAATGAACAGCCTGACTGGAGATGAAAACTTAGCGTCATCTAACAATAAGTTCTGGTACCCAATAGAAATTAAATGGATACTAGAATACAATAAATTGTATATGTGGATATGTTGTGGTCGTAGGAGGAATAATGTTCATTACTCGCTTGAAAATATTCCATAATTTCTAGGTTACATTGAGCGAGCAGCAGAGACTGGAAAACATAAATCTCCAGTCGCGATTGGGGGTGTTGGAATCTAAAAGCAGAGAGCTACTTGTTCAACAGGGCAGCACAGTGTCAGGGGCAGCTGTGGCATTGTCATCTCTCATTGGACGATTAGACGGCCTGGTCGAGGAACTCGTTAGTGCTTATAGTATTTCAGAACAAGAATTAGAGGTACATTTTGAGATAATTTTGATTTTATTGAACTGGTTTTCAATTTGAAATCATTTTAATATTCTTTTCCACCACTAGCTATGAAACCTAACATTATTTCCTCCTTTTCGAGGCATAAAGTGTGTTTTAATCACCAATGTATTTTTCGTCATTTTATTAACCACTTAAAAAAGACATAGCCACATCTGTTATAATCAACCCGAATTCACTCTTCTGATGCGAAATTCGCATTAATGGCACTGGAATTGAAAAGAAGTGCTTCCATAGTGACAATAGGTTCATATTTCAGTTTCACAGAACTAAAATGATTGAAATGTATTGCTAGTGGTGAAAAAAAATTAATATACACCTTGGTAGTAAACAATGTTATTACCACAGGACCTTATACCCTTTGGCTGAAGTATTGGGATTTAATCTTGGTTCCTGGGTAAAATGATATTCTTTACTACCTTTGTGTATAAATAACTATTGCATGGCATTGTGATTGCATTTTTTTTTTGTTTCAATAATCTTTACTTTTAGTTAACCTTGATGTCTCAGATATATTATAAGAAGCAGAAAAAAGACGACAGAATATTTCTCCATTACCTTTTTCAGGAATTAATGATTTTTGAGGGGGTTTAAAAGATTTTCAAATCGAGAAAAAACTACCGACGACCAAATCTGAAAAAAAAAACTACAGATTACTAAATTATTGAAAAATATATTTCTCGTACGAAAAATAGCCCTCGCCCTCTCCAAAATTACAATTTAACCAATAAGCAAAAAAGTAGAATGACAAAAAGCGGAAAAATTAGCTCTTTACAATAATTTCGAAATATAGTCATCTAAAAATTTTGCTCCAGAGAGGAAAAGGGTTAAAATCCAGGTTGGAAACCTTTTTCTCTCGAAAATTAACCCCATGAAAATGTTCCTACTTGTTATTTTTGTTTTCTTAAATGTAGTGACTATCTACTTGTTTTAATCGTGACCATCGCGATTTTTTTCACAAATTTGCTTTTAATTTTATAGCGGAAGAAAATAGCAATGTTTCATTCATCACAACATTTGTTATAAATACGGATTTCTTGGAAATTAGTATTCAATTCCTTCACATTATCAATAAATGTAGATTCGAATAGTTTCCAAATCAGTAAGCAGTAATAAGTAGATTCAGCAAATAGCATAAATGTGAAGTACTAAACCAATGAATCGTGAATCAATGAATTTTATAGAAACATTACAAGGATTCATTATAGCAATAATAATAAATCCTAAATTGGATGTAATGGCGTATATCCTTGATAGTGTTATATGTATACTTCAGTACAAATAAGGTGAAGTAAGGATATATCTTTCTATACACAAAATTATTCCATTGATATTGAGAAGGAACATTTTTTCAAATAATAATTTTCTTGTATCCATTTGTGAAATGTAGGTTTGTATTCAAGATATTCTTGTCATGGGAACTGTGAAAAACTTGGAATATGTTTCCACCTAATCATTGCCATAAATGAATAAATAAATTAGTTCTTAATTGTGCAACAGAATTATATAACGATACAAAATTGAAAGTTATAATGATCATTAAGTTTATATTATGTATAATTAACATTCACAACCTTTATACTATTTTAAGATTGAAATTGGGTTATTTTCAACATTTTTTGAAGGAATTATAGTCAATTAATATCACATGTAATTACTACAAATCCACCACTAGTTTTTTAGTCATTAGGTAACAAATTTAAAATCTTTGGCCTGGATATTCCACTATGATATAGCAAATAAAAGAGAAACATAATAAAACATTCAGCAAAGAAGTACATCATATCTCAAAATGGAGTGGAAAAAAATACTCCAGAACGAAACAGAGCCATAACATTCTCGTACTCTTTCAGGATGTGATATTCCATAATGAAGCCTACAAAAACAGCAGCAGTAGTCCCGAATCGACACCTGAGAAGTCGAAAAAAATGTTCATCAGTAGCTCACCATCGCCACAAAAAGGATCTAGTTTTGTGTCCGCCGTGATAAACGCCATCAAAAGCGCAGCACAGTCTCCGTTCGCTCTCAGAGACCTCAGCAAAGACAATTTATATACAGATCATTCCAGGTAAACACAATGAACTCGATATAAGCACCTGGAAGGGACCCTCTGTGAACGGCGAGTGAGGCAAAAATATTGTTCAGGCAACCCGCAGTGGTTACGGTTAGCCATCTCTATCTTATGTTGGCTGATAGGAAGCGCTGGCATTATTTGAAATATTTTCTCGTTTTTTACTTTCATTTAAGAGTAAACGTGATTAAATATGAATATTCATTTAGGAAAAAAGGATAATGTTGCAATCAATTATCATTGAAAAATTATTATAGAATTTTTTATTGACTTGAAAATGAAATTTTATTTTCATTCTTACAGGATTAGGAAGTTTTTTTTTTTTTTTTTTTTTTTTTTTTTTTTTTTTTTTTTTTTTTTTTTTTTATCGCTTGGAGCGCACGAAAGGGAATCCCTATAATGTTCAAAGAACATCGTGCGTTCCTAGGGAGGATAGGGATAGGAGGTAGGTATTGGAATTTTTTTTGAACTTCTGTAGGTTATATGTTGTTGGGAATACTTCCTCAGGCAATGAATTCCAGAGCCTAGCCGTTCTATGGATGAAGGAGTTTTGATAAAGTGCTGTTCGACATCTTTCGAGGTTGACAACGAAAGGATGTGCTGACTGGGCTTGTCTAGTTCGTCTGACTGGTATTGCTAGTGGAGGGATGATAGCAGAGATTTCCGAAGCACATTTCCCGTGGAAGTATCGATAGAAAAGTGAAAGGTCGCCGACCTTTCTACGGTGTTCCAATGATGTCAAAGAGTGAGTGAGTGTGGCGTCACCCACCAGGCGGATGGCTCTTCTCTGTATGGAATCTAAGAGCATCATCGTATGTTTTGGTGCTGAACCCCATATGTGAGAACAGTATTCTAGAACAGGCCGTATTTGCGCTTTGTAGATCATGAGAAGCTGTTGAGGTGTGAAGTAGCTTTTCGCACGGAACAAGAATCCGAGTTTTTGTGAAGCAGCTTTCGCGATGGATCTGACATGATTATCCCATGAAAGAGTGTTGCTGATGGAAATACCGAGCATAGATATGGTGGGCTTGGTGGAGATGGTGGTGCCAGACATTACAATGTCGGGCATACTGAGTTCCGCCTTTCTAGAGAAAATACAGGCTTGAGTTTTGGTGGCGTTGAATTCAACTAGGTTGTTGGTTCCCCAGGCTGTGATTTCAGCAAGGTCTTCATTGACAGCATTGACCTGCCTGCGCCGTGAGTTTTTAGTTTCCTGGGAAGAAATGGGAATTCTGGAAGAGAACGCAGTATGGAGGGTACTATCATCTGCAAAGCTGTGGATGGGGCAAGTTGTTACTCCCAACAGATCATTGATATGAAGAAGGAATAATGTTGGTGCCAAAATTGATCCTTGTGGAACGCCGGAATTGATGCCAATGGTATCAGACGATACACCGTCCACCACCACGTGAAGCGATCTGCCTGAAAGAAAACTCGATAAGAGATGGCATAGCTGAGGTGGTAAGCCGTATGATGGTAGTTTGTGGAGGAGTCCTTCGTGCCAAACACGGTCAAATGCTTTCGATATGTCCAACGCGACAGCTAGAGATTCCCCGTGTTTTTCTATTGAAGCTTGCCATACATGGGTGACGTAGGCAAGTAGATCTCCAGTAGATCTTCGGTGGCGAAAGCCGTATTGTCTATCATTGATGATTCCTGAGCTCTCCAGATATTTGATAAGCTCAATGTTGATGGCTTTCTCCATCACTTTGGAGATTACTGATAACAGGGAAATGGGCCTGTAGTTGTTGGGCAGGTTCTTGTTTCCTTTTTTGGGGATAGGTTGGACTCTAGCTGTCTTCCAGCATGATGGAAAAATACCCGACCTGTACGAGATGGTAAACAACTTGCAGAGAATCGGTGTTAATTCTGGTGCACATTTTTTGAGGATAATAGGTGGAATTCCATCAGGACCGTTAGCCTTATTCGTTTTGAGACCAAGCAAAATTCGTCTGATAGTGCGTTGACGAAAGACGATTTCGGGCATTCGACTCTCAACCGGTGGAATGTCTGGCGGCACTTTTCCTTGGGAATCCAAAGTAGAGTTTGCTGCGAACATCTCTGCAAAAATATTCGCTTTCTCCTGCGATGTTGTTGCTAATGTGCCGTCGGATTTGGACAGTGGTGGAAATGAACTGTTAGTGAAATTCCTTCCGACCGCTTTAGCAAGGGACCAAAACGAACGGGAGCCATTGGGACACTCTATGAGTTTCGATCTTATCTTGGCATTGTATGTCTCTTTCGAAGCATCTATTGTTTGGCTGCAGTTATTCCTGGCATCAACGTATTCTGCTCTAGTCGCGAGGTTAGGGTTTTTGAGCCAGCGATGGTAGGCTGTTTGTTTCAAGGCAACAGTTCTAGAACAGTTTTTGTTGAACCAGGGTTTCGATAGTGATGATCTTTTCGAAGAATGAGGTATGTATGTGTCCATTCCGAGCATGATGATCTCGGATATTTCCGCAGCACACTGTGAAGGGTCCTCAGAGTCAAAGCATACTCTATGCCAAGGAAACTCGGAGAAAAACATGCGGAGACCGTCCCAATCTCCTGAATTGTAATGCCATATAAGACGTGAGGGTGCCGGAGCAGTTGATGGGATGAAGAATGGGCAGGTTGTGGAGATGAGTGTATGGTCAGAATTGCCAAGTGGAGCTCGTACATCTATGGTGTAGGGTGCTGAATTATTAGTGAGGAATAAGTCAAGTATGTTAGCTGAATGGTTATTGGCATCGGGAATTCGTGTGGGTTCTTTGATAAGCTGCTCTAAGCCGTGAGTGATGGCGAAAGCTTCGGCTTGTCGCCCAGCTTCATCCGTTCTGTTAGAGTGTACGAGCCAAGCAGTGTTGTGTACATTGAAATCGCCCATGATGATGATTTCAGCTGCTGGATGGTTTTGTTGAATTTGGTCAAGCTTCAGAGACAAGAATTCGAAGAGCTCTTCATAGGATGGATCATTCGGTGATAAGTAGAGACAACAAAGGTATTTGGTCTGTTTCTGGCTATCGAGTTTGAACCACATGACATCAAACTTATTTGGTTCCAAAGTTTTTTCTCGTTGACATGAGAGATTCGTTTTAGAGTAGAGGCAGAGACCCCCCTTGAATCTGAAACGTGTGTGGAGTTCGTACCCAGGACAGAGCAGATAGGTCGTATTGGTGGATGAATTGACCTGTGTCTCAGTAAGAGCCAATATGTCTGGCTTTTCAATTTGGAGGTGTCGATGGACATCGTTGATGTTCTTACTTAGACCTCGGATGTTACATAGGTCTATCTTGAGGACTTTTTCAGCCGATGGTGAACCCCCTCTAGTACCTCTCGCCCGGAAATCCGAATGGAGAGGTATTTTACTTCCGGATAATTTTACTTGAGGAGAACTCATCATCGCTTATTCTGTATAAAGAAGGGAGGTTGGCGTGGAAGGAAAAGGAAATTGGGTTGGGTTGGGTTGGCCGGAACATCAACCAGCTACTGAAACACGGGTAAGTATACCCATTTCACAGTGCCTATGGTTGATGTGGTGGTATCGCACCGGGCGATGGCGTTAACCATCTTCCTTGAATGAATACAAAATGAAAATTATTCAAATTTCACAATATATTCTACAGAAGAAAGAATAAAAAGAAAAACAGTAGGACAAATTTGAAAAGAGGTTCTTGAATGGTATATTGATTACCTAAGGTCCATTTTGAGCATAAATTCCATTTTCCCATTAGGTCATTGCCTACAAACATATCCCTATCAGAAATTCAAAAAATACAATTCTCAATACAATATCCTTCTTGAATGGAACAGTTTGGGTTTCTTTATTGATGAACTTCGAAACTTGGGAACTGTAAGTCGTAGGCAAATCAAAGTCCATAATATGAGAAACATCTTCCTCAGGATCCAAGTTATGAACGTATACAGATGCATCCTGAAAATAAATTATTGGCTAGTTTTTTATTTTAAAGATGTGCAAACATACTCTTTTTCATTATTGATCAACTAGGTACCTACGAGTTTTCTTATTTTCCTGCGAGGATCAGCATTTTTGGTAACAAATGCTTAGGAAATGAAAATATACTGGATACAGCATCTGGTTTCAATAACCTAGCAGCACCTGGTATGTCTAAATAATGAGTTGGCAGAAAATGCTCTGCACAAAGCTTGCTGGTCTTAGATGGAGTCCAATTCTCTCTATGAACTGCCTTAATCCATAATTCAAGAATGTCTGGTCTTTTGAATGGAAAACTGCAACAAATAATATTTTTTCTTAATATGGAAGTATTTAACTTTGACAAATAATATAGCTATAGTTTTTGAACATATTCTGAGGCTGGGAACATTGTACACCAAACTGATGATCATTTCAAGAACTATATTTTCCAAAAATCTGAACAATATTCAACTTACCCATGGAATGACAATTTCCTTTTGTCTTGCTGGTTCTTGCATTCAAATGCGACACAATAAATCACCATTGTTTATCAATATGAAAACACAAACCTTCTCAACGACTTAGTAAACTGACACGATAGTTCAAAATTATAGATACTATTGCAAAACATCATAATTTATCTTTATTAATAATCAACTTCTCTCAGCCAATGAGAGATTAACGGGAATTATTCATAATACTTGACAAAGCAGAATTGAATAACCTATTATATCCCATTGCTGTTATGATATAGTTATTATGGATTCAAAGAACAATTTCCGGAAATCTAGACATATTTATGATGTCGGCAACGTCGTACTGGCACAAGGAATCGTATTCTAACTCTGTGTGAATGTGGATTTTCAGAAAGTACGCCATAGGAATGGTGGAGGAGCCAAATTCCTCTTTTATTGATTTTTTTCTGAAGTGAAATTTGATCTTACGAAAAAAAGAATACGTATACACCGTGTCCCAGCTAAAATGTCCCCCTCCCCTGTAAAAAATAAACCGCGCGATCGAATGACTTGAAATTTGGTCACCCAGTATATTTGATGATGCTCACTCGAAATATGCTATTGAATAAACCGTAGGTATACAAGGTCACACCGAAGTGCACCTAAACTTTCCTATTTGAATAGGGACAACCAGTATATTATTTTATACTCAAATAGAGTTCATTATCACAAATTCAACGATGCCGGGTTTGATGGAATTTTTTCAAACGACTACGAAGATATGGCAAACAATAAAACGATTCAATAAAGAATTTATATGATCAGATTTCATTAATATAACACGATTGAAATCGAATGAAAAGAAAATGATTGAAACTTCACCTGCTCAGTATGTCGTATGATAACGTTCATTGTGATTTCCTCTTTCATTTCTTCCATATTCACAATTGGCGACTCATAAACCTGTTGTTTCAAGTAGCCCCACAAATAAAAATCAAGTAGGGTGAGGTTTGGCGACCGAGCTGGCCAGTTGCTATCACCATCGAGACAATTGTGGTTGTTAAATTGTCTTCAAACCGATGGCAAAGATAATCCTTTACGGGTCTGTAGTTATGTGCAGAACACCCATCATTCCATTTTAATCGTGTTATAATAATAAAATCTACTCATATGAATTTGTTATTGAATCTTTTCATTTTTTGCCATATCTCCGTGTTGTATGAGGAAATCCCATCAAACCCAGCATTGCTGAATTTGTAATAATGGACTATACTTGAAGATGGAATAATATACTAGGTGTCCCTATTCAAATAAGGTGCACTTCGGTGTGACCCTGTATATCTACGATTCATTCAAAAGCATATTGCGAGTGAGCATCATCAAATATACTGGGTGACCAAATTTCAAGTCATTCGATCGCGCGGTTGATTTTTTACAGGGGGGAACATTTTAGCTGGGACACGGTGTATATTAATTTTTTACAAACTTCACAGTGAGATAAAAACCTCAATAAAGAAAACTTCCCCATTCTGAACATAGCATGTATGTCGTTCCAGCTCGAACGAGATGCTCGACTCGGAAACCGAACCCTGCCTCATGATGGAGCACGTCCTCGAAGACGTCGTTATACCGGACGGCCACTCACACAACCTCGTCTCCTCCGGCCACGGCAGCGCGCTCTCCTCCCAACTGACCCACTCCTCCATCCTCAAGGACGGATTGACCCACTCCTCCAGCCTCAAGGACCTCTCGCGGCATATGTCGGAGCCTCTCGGCCTCAGCCTGAGTCTGTACGGGAGTCTCACGGCCTCCTATCCAAGTGACTTCACTTCCGTTTCGCTGGTGGACCAGGTGATCGAGGTGGATAATTTGATCACCAGGCTGCTGAAGGTCATCCGGATCATACAGCTGGAGAACGAAGACTGCATGGGGGAGGTAATACATTAGACAGTAGGTCATTTGTGCCTGGAAGTGCCCTCAGTCGTCGTAAAATTGTATTTTATTTATTTATTCATTGAAGTAATACATCTAACAGACTAAAAGTCCAATGGGCTTATATCACAAAAAATTTGTATTTCATAATTCGATAGAACTCGCCCAAACTAGCTCAACACCGCAAACCGTTTATTCTTGCTGTGAGCTTCCTACGTTTTATAAAAAATTATTGAAATCCCCGATTTTTCGGACCTCTGAAAACGAGGCGATGATGTGACGTCAAAACCCTAATACTGAAACAAGACTATTTCAGACAGAGATGAATGATACATGATTTCTGACAGAGTGAATCAGCGCGAGATCACAGTTGAAAGAATTAATATATCAGTTGCCTCAGTCTCCGTCGGGTGTTTGGTATTTTCTTTTAACTAGGGCGAGATGAGCTTTCTACGTCATAAGAGGGTCCGTTTTCAGAAGGTATTATTATTTATGTTCAAAAATAAAACATTCCAGTTAATTTTTCGATCGAATTATGTCGTCAATCATTATTTATGTATAAAAGGACCATTATAAACATGGTTTGAGTTAAAAGTTCTACTAAGGTGTACACGCCCATTACAGGAGTATATAACAAAAGAAGAATGTGCATCACACACTTATCTAAGCATAGTATAACACTATGACTAAAACATAAATATCTGTGAGTATGATAATGAACAGAAAAGAAGAACACTATTTCAACCAATGATTATGTTAGTTTGATATGAGCCTATACAGATTTCGAATCGATTTCATTGTGGATAAGTTACGAGCCGTGCACTTTGAAATAAATAAATTTTGAAAATTCACGTTGAATGTTCTCAAGTTTGTCGATATACTTATTATGATAGGGATTCCATATTTGGCTGGCGTATTCCATTTTCGTCCTAACCAAAGAGAAATATACACATTTCACTGCTTTGACTGATTGAAATTCTTTGCAATTACGTATAACGAATCCGATTAGGCGAGTTGATTTATTAACAATATTTTCTATGTGGGAAGAGAATGTCAACTTCGTGTCGAAAGTTATTCCCAAATCCTTACATTCATGCACCCTCATAACAATGTTATCGTTCAGCATATAGTTTTGTACAATAGGAGACTTACGTGGATATGTCATCACTTTACATTTACTGATATTGAGTGATAAGTTATTTGAGTTACACCATTTCACAAGGTTAGACAGATCATGTTGTAAAGAAATGCAGTCCGTAATGGCATGAATTTGGCTATACCGGGTGACCCGGAACCAATTTACCCCCCTGTATCTTCGTTGTTATTTTGTATGGATGTTTCAAATTCGGTATTTCGATTTGATGTGATGAATGTACAATTTAGCAAATATCAATCCAAATATGTCACTTCCGGTTTGACCGGAAGCGCATCCAATTTTTATATTTCGAATAGGAAGTATTTTTTTTTTGAAAATTACAATTCGGTATAGAATTACCTTTACAATGACATATCACAATCATACTTTCAATTTACAATCTGCTGGTATAATTGACATTTTATAAAAAAAATACTTTTTGTGTTCCCCTCGTAACGGAACATTTTCATGAAAGTATGCTGTGGAAGATTGAACAATATCATGTAAGCAACAATAATTCAATCTTCCACAGCATACTTCCATGAAAATGTTCCGTTACCAGGGGAACACAAAAAGTAATTTTTTTATAAAATGTCAATTATACCAGCAGATTGTGAATTGAAAGTATGATTGTGATATGTCATTGTAAAGGTAATTCTATACCGAATTGTAATTTTCAGAAGAAAATAATACTTCCTATTCGAAATATAAAAATTGGATGCGCTTCCGGTCAAACCGGAAGTGACATATTTGGATTGATATTTGCTAAATTGTACATTCATAACATCAAATCGAAATACCGAATTTGAAACATCCATACAAAATAACAACGAAGATACAGGGGGGTAAATTGGTTCCGGGTCACCCGGTATATTTTTAGCAAAAAGGAGCTTATTCGATTTAATGGAATCACATATGTCATTAATGCACGTGGACAAAATTCATGTAGTCGGTTTCTCCGCGGTTATACCGGGTGACACAGGAGACATGTAACAGCATGTAGTTTTTTTATTTTAAGAGATTAAAATTTGAAATTCACAAGGGTTACATTATTGATGATGGCGCTTCCCTTGAACCCAATGACAATTTTCTTCGACTACCTGTTTGATTGGAAGTGGATCCAACTTTTTTTTTCAAATGGCACCCTGTATATTTCTGTTGCCTATCTTATTCGCCTTGAAATTCTCTATTCAACTATCACAATTTGATATTCGTTTATTGATTGGCTGTTAAATTGCATTTTATTGAAATACATGAAGTTGGCTGTGACCCGAATACAATGACATTTTGATGCTTGATAGGCTTAGAAATCCAAAGATCATTACTTAAACGATATCATCAGAACATTTCCCATACCCTAATCGGTCCCAGGAGATTGCCAATAATTTCATAGAGTTTTAAAACAATCATCCGAAAATAACTCACGATATTGAGAAAACTAAGGTAGAGACTCAGTTTTTATCATTTGGCCCGAAAGAAGTTCCGATATTGCGCCGTCACACCCATTGAGCTTATGGAAACTTCGAACGTAAATATCTTCGTAATCGTTTGAAACAACCCAATCAAACCCGGTATTGTTGCATTCGTTATAATCTCTAACCAGGGCCGGATTAAGCCTATCAGGCCCCCTAGGCGAAGCAATTCTCGGGGCCCCTTTCTTGTAACCTTTTTCAATTTTTGAAACACATTTTTTCTATAACAGCTACTTCAATCTCTCGTGTGATATTGTAACAACATGGTTACCTTGAATTGATGTTACAGCATCCTCACATGCCTGAACAAAATAGCACGTTACACCACAGCCCTGTAACAAAACAACGCGTTCTGAAATATCGCTCATTACCGTTGTAATCTGAAATGTTTGAATGTTTTCACATCTCAAACATATCTCATTAGCCATATTACCTACCTCTCAGTGATTGATTACCCAACTTATCAAGTGAGTCAGTCGTTTCGTCGTTGCTATGAAAAATACATTCTCCAATAGTACCATAGAAACGTCATTCAATGTTTCAATTTGACAACGCACCTTTTGCCTGTAATCACTACAAAAATTACGTGATAAGAAAACTAATAAAATTGAATTCTCGTTTATTTCCTGTTCCTACTTGCAATATATTTGAATGCATACAAAAAAAATTGCCCGGGACAACTAACTCTTTGGAAGCTTGACACAATTCGTTCCAACATTCATTGGATTGCAATCATCCATCGTTTTATAAATTGATTACAATCATCTGAAATAAGAACAGAATCATGATCATGATGGATCAGGAAATAGAAATGAGACGCGACGCGGTTATATAAGGATTCGGAAATAATATTGAGGGAGTATACACTTCTTTAAAAATAAACTCATTCAATGAAACGTTTATTTTTGTTCGTGCACGGGGCCCCTAGTCGGTGCGGGGCCCCTAGGCAGTTGCCTATTCCGCCTTATGGATAATCCGGCCCTGAAGACGATTATGGAATAAAATACAGAGTGTTCCATTTGAACCTCGAAAGTTGATGTTATTACCAGGAGAACCGGATTACAATTACAACGTGTACATCATTCAAAAGCAATAAATCAATACAAAAGTATATATGAAATGTTTTATCAACATGTTGAATGCCACGTATGGCTGGAGTAGGAGGATCTGAGAAACCAAGGCTAGGTTTGGGTAAATTATTATTTTTTTCTACAAACGTCAAAAAATGACAAGGTTCGCGCATTGATGACAAATTGCGAAGTGACACTTTTTTTCAGTTTTCTACGTTACCATGATACCTTGCACAAAACAATGCGCGAAGTAAAACAGTGCGCGAAGTACCTACTTCGCGCATTGTTATGTAAAATATATGAGATATAGCTAAGCATATTTCTACTTTAGAACTATATTTTTTGACGTTTATAGAAAAAATGTTGTTTGCAACTCGAGCGCGAAATACTTTGGTCATCTCGACTATTTTTTCAACTCGGCTACGCCTCGTTAAAAAAATCAGGTCTCGATCACCAAAGTAGCATTTCGCGCTCTAGATACAAAAATAACTATTTTAAGCGTAATTCGAAAATATATCGTCTTGCTCATTCATGCTGACGTTTTCAAGGTCACCAGCAGCTGTCCAGTTTACTGCACAGCAAGCTTTATTTGGGGTTTTAGCATGTATAGCCCACTGTCCAGCAAACTGGACATACAAAAATAGTGAACTAAGTGTATTACTTATTTATTACCTCCATTGAATACAAAAAAGTTAAAATGAGATCAAATCTAGATTTGAGAAACCTAAATGGACGATGCATTCCAATTTTTGAAGCAAGGATTGACACATAAACCAGGTTTTTTGGGCGAACTGGGCAAACATTTTTTTCTTTCATCCTCGAGTATTGGCGGGTTGGCAATATCTTTTCATTTCAGATATTATTTCTGTTGATTGATTCGGCTCCAAGAAATTGAATTTGTTTGTTCTTGTTGTTTCGGCTTGAGGAGTTCCAACAAAAATTTCTATTTGCTGATCCATAAGCTTCATAATTATTTCTTCACGACAGCCCAAGATTCTGATATTCTTATTCTGATGAAAATTATAAATGTAATAGGTATTCCACATATACAAATCCAACAAATGGAAATTAAATTTGCAGTACCACCTCAAGGTTTTTCTTAAGAGTGGAAAAATAAAATAATAAAATCATTCGGTCCGAGCGGTCAATACCTGACATGTGTTTATCATAATCAATGACACATGCAGGTTCAATCTTCTTATAAGTAAGTAGCAGTACTCATCATTTGGACATTTCAACAAAAATTAGGCAGGCCTTACCTTGGGCTTGCGTCATTATTACTTGTAGATATGTCAGAAAAATTACTAAACTTTACACTTTTTCACAAAAAACTCCTCAACGTACACCAAAATTTGCTTTGGCTAATGATACGACTATTTACTACTCGAATCAGCTCTAAAATCAGCCAATTATCATGACCAAATGCGCGAAGAAGAAATTGCAAACCATGTGATTCGCCCCATGCATGTTGCCACATTTATTCTAATATTTTTATCCAAATTGCAAAAACAAATGAAAAAATCCTTAAATATATCCCAAACTATACATATGAAACCAACTTCCTGGTCCGACACTAAAAGATAGTGGATATACTCGCTGTTTAAACGCGTCCAGTTAAGTGGACGCGGTATACGTGTAAAGATCTCGTATGTCCAGTGGACAATGGACAATTCAAGGTGTTAAACTACTAGAAAAAATCGAGAAGTAGGAAATATTCAACTGTTTTAGGTACAGGAGGAGAGGGACGGGCTGTGCGAGCAGGTGGAAAGGCAAAAGGAGACCAACAAGGTGGTGGTGCGGCAGCTGAAGGACTGGGAGGTGCTTGGCGCCAGGCTGAAGACGGAGGTGAAGGAGCTGCTGGCGCAGAACGGCAGGAAGAACACCGAGATGGACGGGCTGAAGGTCGAGTTGAATAAGCAGAGAGAAGAAGTAGAGGTGAGAGGCGGGCTGACTGACTTACAGGCCTATTCAGTTGAAAGTCGTTATTTTACGAGTTGTTAGATAACAACTATCGTTATCCTAATAATATGTGACGACAATTCGAACGACTTGATGATGAAATGCATTCTAGAAGATATGTTTAGATCAGTTTGATTCGCTGTACGTTGGGATATTCGCAAAAGGGCCATTTTTCTCTTTCATTTGCTTTTTGTTTCATCTCGTTATCAAATGACCGAAGTATTTCCGGAATAAATCTATCATTAAATTGTGTGCAATAAAAATAAATAAATAAATAAATGAAATATTGCTGTGGAAAAGGATACAGGGCGTTGAAGTTGTTTTTTATGTTTTCTTGCTAATAATTTCACTGTATTAATTGTTATCAAAATCGGCATAGAGGCATAATTTTATACAGGGTATATTATTGCATGTATCATTCTGCAATTTGTTGTTACAGGGGGCGCCACGAGAATCATTCCTGACGATGAAATCGAATAGTAACTTTTTTTGACGAAACTTTTTAGCAATTTGATTAGAAAATATGACATAAACATCATCATTTCTACGTAATATAGGTACTCTTGTTTAAACACGATGTTTTCATCCGTTTTCGAGAAAAACGCAATTGAACAATCCAAAGTATCGGAAGGAAATATCAAATACTATTTTATTTATGATATTATTTCATTATTTATGTGCTTTGGACTGTCAGATAATTGTAGCTGGTAAAACACCCCGTACCTTCTTCCATAGCAATATTTAATTGAGGCATATTTGGTCTTATCGCCATATGGCCTTAGCCCATGTCGCAACAGTAATTATTCACGACTCACCCTGTATACCGAGTGAAAACGAAATCATTGAACAGGGCATCATTCAGTTGTTTGCAATGTTGGACCTTGAAACCCATATTTTTTATATAAAAAAAAATGAATGAATATCCCTTCCTGTTTTACCGGAAATAGACCTAGGTCGAAAATATCGAATGGAACCCTGTATATATATCTCTAATGGAGATAACAAAATGGATCATTCGCAGATTAAACGGAGGGATATACGAAGTTAATGTCGAATAAATTCAGAAAGATTCTTGAATTCTCCAGAATACAACCTGACTATAATGTATAGTAAGTTCTTCTATAAAAAAATCTAATATAGTATTTCATTCACACACACTATCAAGATAAGTGCTACTTGAATTGATCACTGTATTTTAAGTCTGTTGAAGACACGAACCGTATTTCATCTTTAGGAGTAAACAACGTAACTGCGTGAAAATTGCACTATTATCAAAGAGTTCTCAGAAGAGATAATTTGAAAAGTATCCTGTACTGAGTACTATTGGATTTCAGAAGCTCAACCAAGATGTCTGTGAATTATCCACTGCCCTATCCAAAGCGGAATTGGAACATAAAATGAAAGAAGAGGAAGTTTCCGAAGAAATGAAAAAGTGGGAAAAGACCGGCGAAATTCCAGCCCCAGAAATTTTAGGAAGACTTGTGTCAGCTCACAATGAGGTAACTGTTGGATTTTGGTTTTCATATAATTTGTAGACATTGATTTTATTTATTTACAGATACCAATGCTGAAACAGAAACTAAATGACAAGGAAAAACATCTGACTGAACTGACTCATGAATTCCTAGCAAGTAGGCAGGTACTCTCGGAAAGCTTGAAAGACGCTGTCAATGAATCGAAGAAACAGTATGATGCAATCGATAAGGCATTAGAAGTAAGAAAACATAATACATATCTTCGGAAAACAAACATAGAATATCAATTCAATAATATTGCATTGTCAAATGATGAGGAAAATAATCTGAAAATTGTATTAGTGAGGTTAGTATGAAATAACGTCACACGTCTGATGGGGAGTGTGTCCTTACATCCACATTTCGTTAGCCCCACATTTCGATACACCCACAGTCTCCGGACATCCCGAAGGGGGCACTGTTGCCAAATAAAATACTATCCTATATACCAGAATTCAATGAAACTGTCATTGTGGGCATTGTCGACACATTGCGTTACACCTACATTTCGTTACACCCACATTGCTTTATGCTTCATGTGGGCATATGTTAATGTGGGAACAACGCGATGTGGGCACAATGCAGCGCACCCGTCTGATGTTGACTCTTGAGTGAACATATTTCGAAAAATTATTGACCATGTTGGTGGAAGGCCATTTTGTGTTATTTACTTGCTGAAAGTACTATCAAATTAAATGTCAAATGTTTAATCTTCTGTCAATGTAAATTCGAAAATAGAGGCGGAATTTGGAAACTATTGATTTCCTCCTTTATCTTTGTGTTGTGATGATTCGTGGTTTGTCACGCTTCTAGGGAAGAGGGAACACCCTGTTAAAACTTCCGATAAGGGCTTTGGAAAGGCCTCATTGCGGCATTAAACTTCCGCATATTATTTTATTCCTGAACTGTCACAGAGGATTCCTTCAATGACAATGTCACCATTATAGTATTGACAGGATATGCCGAGGTTAGTCAGCCTCAGGGTTGTTCGTCTACTGTGGGACTCCGCATTGAGGGGGTAGCATTCTCTCATGCAGGCTGCCTCTGCTTGTTTGGATGGAGACTGTCTCTTTCCCAGCCCCTGTTAAACAATTCCTGTAGTTGTTCCATCTCCTCTGACTTTTTGTACTCTTTTGACAGCTCTATGAGGAGTATTGCCAAAAGCTATTTCTGTACCTAAGAAGGCACATAATATTGCTTTTTTAATAGGCCTTTTCATTAAGATGACAAATGACTATCTGTGTTTACATCTCGCATCCAACGACAGTGGCGGCCATTTTTACCGAAACACTTGCACAACACCCCTCAGTAACGAATAAGTAATGGTTCTTCGATTTAACTTGATATAATACAATTAATACTTACCAGGAATATAGAAACGAAAATACTATATTGTATTATTGTTGTTTCTCAATGACGAATGCCCATTGTGGTTGACACTGTTGACATTTGACAGAACCTCAATAAAAGCGCCATTTCTGAAATGGCCAATCAGAATTTGTGTCGAAACTATAGCCAATGAGACTTCACCTCCGCATTACCCAATCAAATTTTGGATCTAAAAACGAGCGCATGCGTCTTAAAAATATATCTATATAAAAAGGCCTATTGTCAGTGCATTCTGTCTATCAGCATGTCACCTATACATTTAAGAACTCTAATAACAGCTGGATATCAACATTTCGAGTGGATATTTACCAGGGTGCGAGGGTAGGTAGGTTGCGTTCGGCCCAATTTTCGATTCGCCCACCATCTCCGAAAATATACCCGAACGATGCGTTGTTCCCAAATATGGATGAAGAATCATTGTGGGCTTATCATTATTAAATATCAAAACTTTTTTATACACACAAATCGTATATATGGTACATATTTCGATTTGCCCAATTTTTAATTCATCCAATTTTCGATTCGCCCAATTTTTTATTCGCCCAATTTCCATCGACCCGAATTCCGACCTAATATGAGGAAAATATAATTTTCTGGATAAGGAAGGAGACTACCCCTTCCAAAGTAACTAACCTAACCTACCTAACCTACCTAAGCTACCTAACCTACCTAACCTACCTAACCTACTTAACCTACTTAACCTACCTAACCTACCTAACCTACGTAGCCTACCTCACTCGGCCGAATCGGAGATTGGGGAAATCGAAAATTGGGCTAATCAAAAATTGGGCGAATCGAAAATTGATTGAAACGAAAATTGGGTCAAACGAGACGTTTCCGCGAGGGTGACTAACAAACATCACTGAAATTCATCAAATGTCACAATAGTATATTCTTTAACGAGCACGGAATGATAATGATTTCCTACGAGAATGAAGTTTGCAGCATAAGCCATAGGCGAATGCTGCAATCATTCGAGCATGAAATTAGCATTCCGTGCAAGTTATACACTAACTTTTCTACGGCTATAATAGATAACAGCAGCATTTTCGATTTCTTCGTTTTGTAGCCATCTGATTTCCTGTCAAATAATCATTTTTTCGGGTATGTTTGGAGACGGTGGGTGAATCGAAAATTTGGCGAATCGAAAATTGGGTCAAACGAGACGTTCCCGCGAGGGTGATCAACAAACATCACTGAAATTCATCAAATGTCACAATAGTATATAATAATAATAATAATAATAATAAAGGTCTTTATTATTTTCAAGTAATACTCATACATTTTGTGAATAAAAATAAACATATTTTTTGAAAATAAAGGGCGAAGTTCATTTTCTGTAGAGAAACAGTAGCTTCACTACGGAAATGCTGTTCAACGAGCACGGAATGATAGTGATTTCCTACGAGAATGAGGTTTGCAGCATGAGCCAAAGGCGAATGCTGCAATCATTCGAATAGGGAATTAGCATTCCGCGCAAGTTATACACCATAATTTTCCAACGGCTATAATAAACTACTCAACACTAATTTCGTCGCACACCAAAATGTCGCCCCTGTTATAATGTGAATAACTTTTTTCAGTTTAAAACAATTTGAATTTGGTTCACACTGTTCGATTGCCCAGTCCTTCAGCTATAATCTCGTACTTTATTGAAACATAAGGGTATTCACATAAAATCTCTACATGGTGTTTTTTGACACTGTGCGAAATTTCGGAATATTCAAAAGGCTCTCAAATGGTGAAAAAAAATTTTTTCTCAACTTCGACAACAGAGGCATGAAGATGATCTCATTACCTTGAGATATTTCGCGAATCAACTTCCTATCTCTCTTATTTACAGAGTGATCTCGAAAAATCAACTTTTTGGTTTTGCAGCCATAACTTTTTTCCACGTCAACCGATTTTGGAAATCTTAGGCTCATTTTGAAGATAAAATTTCAGATGAAGAGATCTGAATATCAGAATTGACTGAAGATGGCTATCAAAGATCTAGAGTTTTCTTGAAAGTGACCCAAATCTGGAACGCCCTTCGAATCTTGGTTGGGAGGAGAATTGAATGAAAATCAACTTGTTCTCGGAAAAACAATTCATTCTGGATGCGTCCATATTTTCCTACCTCTCAGTAGTCAAGAATTGTGCGTGAGAAAACACAATTGAAACATGTTCTTGCAGAAACATCAGACCATTTCTCCTCTGTAATGCATGGCCCGTAACCAACGTTACAAGAATCACAATGAGTGACTGACAAACCCGACCAGCTGATTCTCATCATAAATGGTGTACCAACAAGAGCAACGGATTCTGATTTTTTCAATAAAGTGATTTTTTTAATAGTTGTCACGTACATAACATGCGATTTAAGAATATGGAGAAGTATTCAAGCAAACATCGTTTATTTTTTGTAAAAACGCATTTCAAAAATTGTGAAAGTTTCACGAGAACAGTTTGCCAATTACGTAAAGTTTTCAGTCGCAATAATGCGCCGAACGAATCGACAGTAATAACCAAACAATTTGTGTCGGTGATAAGCCCTTTGAATGGATCGGACTGTCGTGTTTAGCAGATCCGCGATTTGGAGGGAAGATAACCCTTGTACCCTCATTTGTGGAATCAGTTCCAACTGGTCGGGCGTTAGATTTCGGTGGATGCGGCATCGAAACTATCAAAATATGTTTATGATTCGAAAACGACGTCTAACCTGACTTGTCAGTCACTTACTGTGATTCTTGTAACGTTGGTTACGGGCCATGCATTACAGAGGAGACATGGTCTGATGTTTTTGCAAGAACATGTTTCAATTGTGTTTTCTCATGCACATTCTTGAGTACTGAGAACGATGAAAATATGGACGCATCCAGAATGAATTGTTTTTCCGAGAACAAGTTGATTTTCATTCAATTCTCCTCCCAACCGAGATTCGGAGGACGTTCCAGATTTGGGTCACTTTCAAGAAAACTCTAGATCTTTGGTTGCCATCTTGAGTCAATTCTGATATTCAGATCTCTTCATCTACAGTTTTATCTTCAAAATGAGCCTAAAATTTCCGGAATCGGTTGACGTAGAAAAAAGTTATGGCTGCAAAACCAAAAAGTTGATTTTTTGAGATCACTCTGTAAATAAGAGAGATAGGAAGTTGATTCGCGAAATATTTCGAGGTAATGAAATCATCTTCATGCCTCTGTTGTCGAAGTTGAGAAAAAAAATTATTTCACCATTTGGGAGCATTTTGAATATTCCGAAATTTCGCACAGTGTCGGAAAACACCATGTAGAGATTTTATGTGAATACCCTTATGTTTCAATGAAGTACGAGATTATAGCTGAAGGACTGGGCTATCGAACAGTGTGAACCAAATTCAAATTGTTCTAAACTGAAAAAAGTTATTCACATTATAACAGGGGCGACATTTTGGTGTGCGACGAAATTAGTGTTGAGTAGTTTAGATAACAGCGGAATTTTTTGCTTCGTCTTGTAGCCATCTGATTTCCTGTCAAGTAATGCTCATCTATTAGACAGAGCTGTCATTGCTTCACATTTGACATTGCACGAGCGATGAGATTTCTTTGAAATAATAACACAATGTAGTCATTGTGATATCAGATACGGAAATAGAATTGATGACATACAAAGTACCTCATTGATGTATCGAACACAGTAACACAAGAGCAATCTTGTATTATAGCCGTAGAAAAAACAGATTTTTTCTCTTTAGGTTTTCCATAGTATTCAGTCGGTGGTTCAGCAATGCGCCCCGCTCGCCAAACTCCAAAGGGACTTGGAAGAGACGAGTTTCCAGAGCGCCACCACCATGCCTCTGATAACGCCGGCGGATTTCAATGCGAACGCGGCTTTACTACAAGCCGTGGCCAACTTGGAAACGGCCCCCACGATCAATTCGACCGCTTAACACTCGACAAGGACAGATCGAGATCCAGAAAATAAACAGGGCCGCCCCACGTCAAATTTTAAGTAATAATAGATGGTGTTACTGAGAACATATTATTAGGATCCACAGTTTTTGTAATTTCAAAGCTACAAGTCTTATTATCCTAAGGAGCTTCATTGATTTCGTCAGGATGACAAGGAATACCAATAGGCGAGTAGACTTTCCTTTTAAATTTCTTAAAAAGAATCATTACTCGATTACCTTTCAATCCCATGTTTTTTAAATTTTCTTCGGTCGTTTTTAAGGTAATAAACTCGTCAATATTACAGTAATTTTTAAACCGCTAGAAATTTACCGCAAATAAAAACTGACATCACGATTTAGTAAGTAGGGGCAGACCATAGCACAGTTGCCATGTGTTGAAATATGAATGGAAACTTCAGAAATATTGATTATTTGATAATAATTCGTAAATTCTCAATGTTGTATTGGTAATAGTCTCAATTTGCTAAAAAAAATCCATTGTCTTGTAATTTTCCCTCATTTATGTTGTGTCTTATTACATTATGATGAATTTCAGTTAATAACAATTATATTAATTCATAGTAGAGGAGATATGGTCAGGTAAACGCGAAACAAAGGATTGTGGGCATGGTCTTCTCAGTTCTTAGCGTTTAGCACAGCATTGCCAAGTCTTAAGCCTAGCCAACATTTGCATGATATTTTGCTATGGACTATAAGAAATATTTCAACCAGCTGGTTGCTCCTGTTGGGTTGAATGAAATATTTAATTTGGATATAGTTTTATTCAACAACAGGGCTTTAACAACTTTTTAATAACTTGATAATAATTGGTGACTTGACAACCTCACTACATGAGTGGAAATGAAAGATAGAAGAACTGATATCACCACATTTCCGACGTATCGAGGAACATGGCCATGCGAATGGCGACAATAACGGTACGTTTGAATTTGAATATCGAAATAGTACATTATAAACCTAAGGTAGTGGTATTTTGAATCCCTAGACAAAAAGTTTATAGCCCGACCAACAGGAGGGATTTAAAAACATTTTAATCCCGAGGTGTAGTGTATATACTATTTTACTTCAGGATAGGTAAAACGTAAAAAAAAAAATAACGAAAAAAATTTCAATGCTACTAAACGGTAACAATTGTTACCTTATCAACGACCTCAGTAACTATGGTGATCCAGATCATGATTATTATCGGCAACTGAAAATCTTGGTTTGTTATGACAATAAGTAACTAAGTAAAACATAAATAAATGAATATAAGTCAAACACGCCACACCGATTGAAAGACGTTGATCGCGATAGAACAAATCGAAGAGGCAGCTCAAGAAGCTGAAGCTACAGAACAATATAAAGAACAGTTATCTGAGTTTACCAAATGTAGCAAATAACGGAACGTAGAAAAATGTATAGAGGAAAAGGTACTGCTAGCATATTTTTTGGAAAAGTAAAAAAAGCTTAAAGCATCGTCATTGTGGAGCGTATATTCGACGATTAAAGTCACAATTGCAACAGACATTTTGAAAGTACATTTCTAAATTTAGGTTTTATTGCAAAATGAATTTACTTTGAATCCCTAGGGATTTGAAGTATCACTTTTATCCCCGAAAATAGGAGATAAAGGTACCCTTCAAATCCTTGAAGTGCATAAAAGTAATTTGATACTGGAATAGCTAATGTGAATGTGCCCGCTTGAGGGAAGAAACCAATTTTATTTAGCCCAATGTTTGACACTTCACTTCAAAGCTAATTTTATTGCCAATGCACTAAATAGGTATTATGCGATATAACTTGAGAATTTTCACTGTAAATATTGATTTCAGTTTGTAATTGCTGCAGTCCGGCAATATTTTGAAATGATTCAAGTTCATTTTCGATATTGTTCTGGAATATTATTGGTGCATTGAATGAATGATGAAATCAGCTTTCGAAAGAAGTTCTAAACATTAGGCTACATAACCTTAATTATATTCTTATTACTAATTTCTTCATCAAATTACCTCTTTGATAATGTACCATGCATGGTACTTACTTTCCTCATTCAAATTAGTTTGGTCAGTCAAGTGGAGGGAAATGGAATGACATACGACCATTGAGGGTCTGATAAGAAGGTTTTCCCCATTAAAAATCGGCCTATTTCAGCGTTTTTTTAAATACAAATTTTACCGACAGTGATTCAGTCTGTTTCGTTTTCGTTGGCCCACTCATTACTGTATATTGACAATGCCGTAATATCAATAAAGATATGATAAACAAATGGGTATATTTCAACTGTTATATGAAACATAGCGATTTAATATGTTTCTGTAAACTTAGCATTGACGAACCGTTTCAAAATTACAAAATATTTATGTGGCAACACCGCTATGAAATGGCTACAAGAAATGCTGAAACTGTCAAATTGTAAAGTATCGACACACAAAACTATTGATACGAGAAAAGCAGCGTTGTCGCTTTTCGAGCAAGAAATAGATTTATGGTTATACTGTAATATTCCATAGTTCATTTTCAGATTTTCAGGTCATCATATTACTAAGGAAACATTGTTCAGAAGAAGCAACATTGACATAGTATTGTCACCAACATAACAAATGCTATGAAAGTGTCAAGAAAACTTTCAAAAATGTTTTCAGAATGCGGCTCCTTGGAATAGATAATAAGTCTGTGGCTAGATCATTTTGAAAAATGTTTTATCTCGCTTTTGGAGAATGTTCATTTCTTTAGCTACCAAATCAAAATTTTATTAATTTTATTTATATAGTTTGTTACCTACTTGTTGGCTTTTTAAAGATTTTTATTTCATATTTCACCTAAATTGTATGATTGCCATATTTAGAATGTTTGTATATAAATGTGTTACATTAGCTTAACTGTAGGTTCTTAGTATTGGACTTCCTAAGAATAAAAAGGCTGATCAAAGCCATTTATATGTCAAAATCTCCAAAGAATGAATTTGAAAGTGTTCAGTGTTACGAAAAGTGATAATTATTCTTCATTATATTCATCAAAATGTTATAAACAAACTACTCAAGTCTCCACAATACTCGACAAATTTTCATCGCACACTAAATTCACAAACGTATTTTATGTAAAAAGGAATTGGAGATTAGTTTGTGATTTCAACAAATTCATATTTTCTGAATGTACTATATTGCCATTAATGTAAATACATTGATCATTAATTTATTAGTTATTTCCATTTGTAGTTTCATTTCTCACATACTTTCTTTCCTACTTGCCAAAGGACTTCATTTTCATCAGAAAATAACAGAACAAGCTTTCATAACTAAGGGATCTATGGTGATTATCAGATTATTAATCAATCAATCAACTTAATTATTCCCAAGAAACAACATGGTGAATATTTGAAAACATATATTTAACAAAATGAAGAAGATAGTAAAATAAGATTCACACTCAAGAAATCCCTTTTTTTAAGTTCAACTTGAAATAATTCCTAATTAACTCAGTTGTTAGGTACTTGATGGAAATCTATGATGATTATTGTTCAGCCCACCCAGTAACCAGCCGTCATCAGTCGCACTCGGTCTACTGTCGCGACGCTATGGTATCTCACTCTATTCAAAAAGCATGAGGATATGGTCATGTTATCACCTTTACCTCTTCACATTAAAAAAAAACATCAGAATCGGCCCATAAATAGAAAACCTATTGACTATCTATAAAAGCGTGTTTCTTTAATTTTTAAACTACTATTTATTCTCTACTTCTTATCAGTTTCGCTATCTATAAAAGCGTGTATCTTTAGTTTTTCAAACTACCATTTATTTCAACTTCTTTTTAGTTCACTTGAATTTCCCAATCTTAACGAAAGAATCATAATATCCGACTCCTAAAACCCTAGGAATTGATGATTGAATAGAATCGGAACATAATTACAAAACTCGTCCGCAATATTGGATCTACCATCTTGAATTCCCTAATTTTGACGAAGGAATCATAATTTTTGATCCCGAAAACGCCCACTTACAAATTTTGAACAGAATCGCTATATAATTACAAGACTCGTCTGGTATATTGGTTCCACCGTCTTGAATTCCCAAATCCCACCCTTTCCAAATTTTGACGAAATAATCATAATCTCCGACCCCGAAAACACCCAGATAACAATTTTGAAGAGGGTCGGATCATAATTACAATACTCGTCCGCCATATTATGTCCGCCGTCTTGAATTTCCGAAAGAATCATAATCTCCGACCCCGAGATCCACCAGATACCAAATTTGAATAAAATCGGATCTTAATAACAAAATTCACCATTTTGGATCCACCATCTTGGATTTCTTGACGAAGGAATCATGATCCCCGATCACGAAAACCCTTAGGTACCAATTTTGAAAAGAATCGGACCATAATTACAAAACTCGTCCGATATATTAGATCCGCCAATCCGCCATCTTGAATTTCCTAATGATACTGGGATAAAAAGTATCCTATAACCTTCTCCTGGTTCTGAGCTACCTCCCCACCAATTTTCAGCCAAATCGATCCAGTAGTTTCGGAGCCTATTCAACACATACATACAAACAAACAAACAATCAAATCTTTCCTCTTTATATTAGTATGGATTACCAAAGCACTTGAGAGATATCAATAGCTGCACAATTCAAAAACGCAACAAAAAATCCCTATTAGAAAACTGCTTTTACTCCATGGAGAAATTCCTAACAAATCAACTCAAACACTGAATGTTCACTAAACAAATAAACTGTTCCATTGAATTTGTACCATACCCATCATTTTCTGATGTTTTTAATCTGTATACCTACTGTTAAAGTGTCTACTGAAATGTTTGTATATGTATATGTAATTTTTTTATCCTGTGAAGTTTGACTTGTTATTTGTACCTGATTACTTGATATGGCCAATAAATTTACTATTTATTACTACTACTACTACTAATACTACATAGCCGACCCTATTAATCAAATAGGAAGGTGAAGGGCCGATCATAAATGACAGCGGCATTATATCGGACTAGAATGATTTATGTGAAAATTCATACAGTTTGTAGAAAACTGTTCAAGGTATCACGAGCAAAAAACGAATAAGCTGAATATGATACAAAAACCTATAATCATACAATTCAATATATTCTGCTCTTGATTTAAAAACTCGCAAATTAAAAACAGATAATAATATCTTACCTACTCAACCTAATTTCTTCACTTTGTTCTAAAATGAATCTCAACCATCAGCCCCCTTGCGAGCAAGGAATGACGTGGGTCTTACCTTTTAACGTGTGATCCCAAACACTTTCTTCGGCCATCAGAAAAATTTCTGCGGTCGTGGTGGGAATCGAACCCACATACCGGCAGTCCAACCTGGATAGAATACTGACACTACAACCACGAGGCTACGCACATTGATTAGACACTTTCTCTATCTGGTCTTCTAACGGGACATGAGCCAATAATCGTAGCCATAAAAAGCATCTCGAATTCAACTTGTATATCTATTTGTTATCATTGTCAGGTATCTATTGAATTGATTTTTTTGAAATTCTGTAGGATGTGTAGAAAACTACTATATGATGTAGTGTGATTCGTTGAGTTTCATAATGATGAGCTCCAAGCTCAAATTATCATGAAGTATGCAAGTTTCTTATTGTTTCCTGTTGAGTCAGAAAGAAATTAAACTTGTATAGCTGTCAATTACCGTCATTTTAAAAGTTGATTCAGGAAACTGTTCAAGGTACTAAGAGATTGAAACAAATCATAGCCAAACATGAAACCTATAATTATACTATTCACGCTTCCAATGAAAAAGCAAACCAATCAAAAATTAACTTACTTAACCTCACTTCATCACTTGAGCCGCCCATCAATTAGACAAAAACAGATGGTGATAATCATTTTCATGGGACGCGCAATTACACTTGGGACACTTTCTCTTACTGGTCTCATACCAAGTTTTGAGACATTCATAGCAGAAAACGTGGACCACTTAGACTTTTTAGCCAACCGATGATACGAAATGTCTAAGCATTGTATAACCCTTGAAAATTTTGTCAAAGTACACATGAAAACTATTACGGTACCTCGTATGTGACACATTTTTCAATAGGTTGCAATAACAGTACATCTAATTTTTCCTATTTGTGAGAAATTTAATGAACTTTGAATATTCTCTGGCACATCCACTGATGTGTGAGAATATTCCATATAATATCGGGTGATTCGAATAGTTTCATCAAGATAAAGTCATTATAGAAGTAGATTCAAAGTATCAAAAAGTATGCGACTCTCTTATTGTTTTCCGTAGTCAGGAAAAAGAAGAGAACACGGTATTGCACTTCTGCCGTCGAAATTGTATACACAAACTGTTACAGTTTAATGAGTTATCAGTTTATTAATAATACTCATTAAATAATTATTATACACCTGACACCATGTTACAGTTTAATGAGTTATCAGTTTATTAATAATACTCATTAAATAATTATTATAGTATATTAACACAAGCAACGCTAACAAGAACGACATTAATTAAAGTAGTCTGTCTCTTGTATGTCAACTGTCAACCATACATACGTCATGTCATGGAATACATAAAACATTGAACATAAACAGATCTATACTTAAGCCTAATTTACAGTATCGTAACACAAACCTATAATCGTATCGCTGGTAATATTCACGCTTCCTATCAAAAAGCAAACCAAATACAAAAACCAGCCGGCGACTTCCTCTGCCTGGTCTCGTACCAAGTCTTTGGACTTAGTTCTTCGCTGGTTCATAGTCCAACTATCTGCAAGTTGATGAACTATCTAGGAATATCATTCTTTCTAAACAAGGAAAATCACTAGATATTTTGAATGTTTCTCAAATATATTCTGCATCACCTACCGATCTCTACCTTTCACTACTCAACAAAAAGTATTTCACTTACTTACTTAACCTCGCTTCGCCCATCAATAAGAAAAAAACAGCCGGTGACATCCTCTGCCTGGTCTCGTACCAAGTCTTGAGAAAATCATAGCAGAAAACGTGGATCACTTGGACTTTTGAACCAACCGACGATGCGAAATGTCTAACCATTTTGAAAATTTGGTCAAAGTAGACATGAAAGATACTATGGTACCAGGTATGTGACACATCTTTCAACAGGTTGCTATAACAGTAACACAAAATTTTGCCTATTTGTGAGAAATTTGATGAAGGTGTGAGAATATTCAATATATCTCTCCGCACAATTACTGGAATAAGACATCCTGACAACCATCTACACAACCCCTCCAATCAATATTCGTACAACAAAACTAGAAGAGATCCTATACAAGAACGACTGAGGAAGTTATCCCAAAAATTCGCCCTCAAGGCCAGCAATATGGACCTTAAATTCCCAACCTAATTCCAAGAGAAGACATGAGATCACATTTCAAATTCTGGGAAAGAACAATACAAGAAATACGTACATCATTGAGTGAAGATCAGTTGGACATTTAATTTATCTCAAAATTTATTTATAAATTTATATATATATATTTTTTGTCAAATTAGTTTTACTAACTCACATTTGTCATTCACATTGAAATTATTGAAATACCACCCATGTCAAAATTTACTGGCTGCAGGACCTCGGTCGATGGCCTTTTGGTTGTAATTTATAACCAATATGGAGCATTTATTATTATTATTATTCAATATAATATCGAGTGATTCTTCTAGTTTCGTCATTATAGAAGTAGATTCGAAATCGAAAAATATGTGACTTGAAATGAAATGAAACAAGATATTGCACTTCTGCCCTCGAAATTGCATATCACTATTATCCTTAATAATTTACACACTAGATGATCGACCTCCATGTAAAATGTTGAAGCCAAATTTGGACATAGTCCTTCGCTGGTTCCTAGGCTGAGCTAGTGAAACAAAATATGACCGATTTGTCCTTACTCTCGGAATCTGCTCGAGTCCATCTATCTGCAAGTTGATGAACTATCTAGGAATATCATTCTTTCTGAAGAAGGAAAATCACTAGATATTCTGAATGCTTTTCAAATATACTCTGCATTACCGGTCTCTACTTTTCGCTACTCAACAAAAAGTAGTACAGAATAGAATTTCTGGCTTAATTGCTCTCATAAGGATGATTCATTTTGTTAATGTTAATAATCAAGGCTTTTATCAAAGTTGATTCAGGGAACTCAAACTATTCAAGGTACTAAGAGAATGAAACAAATCATAGCCAAACATGATACATAAACCTATAATCGTACTATTCACGCTTCCAATAAAAAAGCAAACCAATCAAAAAACAGACAATAACTTACTGAACCTCGCTTCGCCCATCAATTAGACAAAAACAGACGGTGATAATCATTGGCACCGAACGCGCAATTACACTTGGGACACTTCCTCTGCCTGGTCTCGTACCGAGTCTTGAGACAGTCGTAGCAGAAAACGTGGAAGCACTTGGACAGCACGGCGTCCTTTCTTTTGACCTTGCACGAGGGACAAGTGAGAGTTTCCTTGTACTCTCTGATTTCCTCCATCATGACTTCGTCCAAGGTCGTGCCGGCCATTTCCATTTTCTTCATGCGCTCGGCCTTGCGCTTCAGCTGCGCTATCTCTTCTTGGAGGCGTTTCGTTTTGTAGGCTTCCGCTTCCAAGGAGCTGGTCTTTTCGGCGACCACTTGCTGTGCCTCCTTCATTTGAGAGTGGTATTTTTCTGGAGGAACGAAAAATAGATGTGTCTCAAATTCGTAAGTTGTCAAGAGGATTACAATGTCCAAAAATTGCTGAAATATTCATCAGAAACTATCTGGATCGACGTGAAATCACGAAGATTCTCAATCTACAGGGTAACTCACGGTCGATGGTACGTTAGACGTTTATGGAGAACAGGACATAGGATCATTCTGAAATTTTGGTTACTCACGTAGTTGCTCTTGGTCTATCGATCTAAAATATTTTCAGCTCTGCGGCGTTGCCGCTTCTATCGAAAAGTAGCAACAACTTTGTTATTTCAAATGGAACACCCTGTATTTTATTGCATTTTCAGTTTCTCTCTGAAGAGCTGTTTTCATCGATGTATAACACTTGGGGTCTAGCGGAAATGATTACAGAGATATAGGGTGTGAAAAATCGACATTTTTCAACTTTAGGAATTTTTTTTGTCGAAACTATTCATTATTGGTCAAAACGGCTCACATGTCCCTATCTCAACTTTTGATCAACTATCTACTGACATTTAATTGAAACAAATAGAGGATGGTGCAGAATTCAGAATCTTGATCACCCGGTATATGTCCCAATTAAATATCAGTAGATAGTTAATCAAAAGTTGAGATAGGGACATGTAAGCCGTAATACGAGCTGATGAAATGACAAAAGGCAAATGACATTACCTTAGGTATCTTCATAATACAGGTATAGATGTATGTGTTGCGTGCAAGAACTGTCAAATGACCGACTCTGGAGGTGAAACATTGAAACACAACCTCACTTTCTTTATTTGCTCACAAAGGATTGGAATAGTTTTTGACAATTATTTTGGCATACGAATCGTGTTTTCGGCTATTTATTAATTCGCGCATGCCATCACATTCTGCTGTTGCACAATGCACAAAAAATGCAGCGAGAGATGGAGGAATCCGGTTGGTACATTAGGATTTGAAAGTTAAGTAGTCACTCACATATAGTTTTCATTTTGAAATTTGGTAATTTCTCTGATTCCTCATCGGAATTCCTTCTGCAATAGAAGCTAATAGAAATTCTCGTGGAATTTCTGAAGTAATGCAAGAATATTGGATTCATGCAATCAATCAGGAGGACTCGTCTGACATGCTGACGAAATATGATCATGTGTGTTGTAGACATTTTCAATCTTACTATGTGAGATTATTATTTACCGGAAAAATCATATTACTTCGTCTCTCCCTGCATTTTTTGTGCATTGTACAACAGCACAATGAGAAGTATGCTTGAATTAATGAATAGCGCAGAAAACACGATTCGTATGATTAATCTGTAAATAAATGAATAAAAAAAGTGAGGTTGTGTTTCAATGTTTCACAGAAGAGTGAGGTTGTGTTTCAATATTTTACCTCCAGGGTCGGTCATCGTGCACGCGACCTATATACGAGGTGGAAAAAAAAATTGGTCATCTTTAATATTGATATACAGAGTGCAGCGGTTTCAGCACAAAAGATTCCGCGTTGCGTGGACATACAAAACAACAAACATACATACCCAGCTAATATAAGCGCGTTTTGATAATAAAAAAAACAACTCACCCAAATGGAGTTTGAGATCGGCTGCCGACTGAGCCGACTCGATCGCTTTCCGCTTGTGCATCTCCATCGCCTGCTGCCGCAGCGCAAGCTCCTTCTCTACCGTGGAGAGAGTGTTCTGCAAGATCCTAATAAATAACAAATAATAATAATAGTAGTGATAACATTTTCTTTTATATAGGACGTCATTACATCGGTAGTATTAAAATGAAAAACATTACAATTTGGTTAATTTTTTTGCTGGTGAGTGTTTAGGGTGTTTCAAATTCTAGCATCAAGTTTCCAGGGGATAACTTTTTGAATCAAAATAAAACTTTTTTCCTATTAATCATGTCAGAGCATTGAAATTTGAAACATAGGTTACGAAGGCCCGTATTTATAGTCATTGGCTATTCGTTCGGCAGTTCCTAGATGAACGTTTTTTGAACCGTTGGATTAGAAGATCAGATCGAATAGGTTGGCCAGAGTGAAGCCCTGACCTAACCCCCCTTGATCATTATGTGTGGGGTAATATGGAAGCGCTAGTTGATGGAACTCCAGTAAAGTCCCGGGAAGAACTCATACAAGTGATAACCGACGCTGCCCTGCACATACAAACTAATTTGACAGCTAGAATAACAAAGACGGAAATAAGAAGACGCTGCCGAGCATGTATTCGTAGTAATAGAAGTATAATTTTGAACATGATTTGTGAAAAGTGAATACTAATATTAGAAGTCTTTCAAGTACTATTTTACTATTCATTTGATATAACAAACCGGTATGAAGCACTTTTATCATCATTTGTACCCAGTTAGATAGCTACTGCATTAAGAAAGTTTCAACACATTTTCAACAAATGTGGCTTAGAGATTTTTCTAAAAATAACCGCTACAAAGTTTTGAAATCCTCAATTTACAAACAAAAATACGATATTGTATTTACAATTCATTTATTATCTAAATTATTTCTGGAATTTTTTCATTCAAAACATAAGACCATAGTGTTGATCATGTATTCTAGTTGAGAAAATGTAAAGCAGATTTTCGACAAACTAACTTTTGAGCCCTGGAAGTCTACCTTCTTGGCGATAAACAAAAAATATTAAATATCTCAAAAACCATTAACTTTTGCATAATGAATAGGTTAAATTCACTCCCCACCACCACACCCATCACATCACCAAAGAAATGTATCGAATTACCGGTAATCGTAGTCGTTTGAAAAAATCCCATCAAACCCAGCATTGTTGAATTTGTAATAATGAACTCTAATTGAATATGGAATAACATACTGGGTGTCCTTATTCAAATACGAAAGTTTAGGTGCACTACGGTGTGACCCTGTATACCTACAATTTATTCCACATCATATACAGGGTGTTTGGTTCACCGACGAATATAGGGAAGGAGGTGGTAGTTTACGTGATTTTGAACAAATTTGACCATATATACTATTATACAAAGTGTTACACTTTTCGAGAAATCATAGCTTATAAATTCAAAATTGGATGTTACAAAAATCGTTTTTTGAATTCTAACTAGCCAAAAAATGTTGTTATCACATTAGATCTCATTTCGTGTTCAATGTCGATAAAATGCGTATTCAACTTTCTAAGAAAAAAGAGATTTAATCAGATAAAATGTTTGAAAGAACGATACCTCGAAATTTGAAACACTTCGTACAATAGTATATATATGGTGAAATATGTTCGAAATGTTCTCAACTATCACCCCCTTTCAGATATACGTCGGTGAACCAAACACCCCTTATATATCATATGTAAAAATATCCCTATTGTAAACAAATATGTTTCTTGTGGAAAATGAGTTTCAGATAGGTATCCTGATACTGAATTTCGAAACACCCTGTATAAAATGAATATTACCGCTCCTTCTCCTCTAGCTTCCGCACCACCAGGTTGGCCGAGTCGACTTGGGCGGTCAGCGTGCCGACTTGCTCCTTGAGCACGTCTTTCTCCTCTCTGGCCAGCTTGTGCAGCTGGTTGGACTTGATGCGCTCCGACATGAGTTTGAAGTTGGCGTCGTCCTTTTCGCGGAGCTGCTGGATCAGCCGGGAGTTTTGTTCCTGGAAGCGGTCGATTGATTGTTGTGATTGTCTTCCTCGTGAAACGTTCGTTATGTCAGCTCAAGAATTGGCAATTTTTCAACAATATTGCTATCACTTGAACTTACAAGCAATCTTGTACGGCAATGATTTTTTTCATTCGAATAATGCAGCAATGGTTACAGTAACAGTTTTTAATCATTTTAAATAACAGCACTATAAAAAAAACAGCACTGACATGCTGGTCTCGGAAAACTAGCTAGACAATATACCGGGTGAATAACTAAGAACGGCTGTCATCAATCCTTTTCCCAACTATGATCGTCAATATCTTCCGTTAGCGAAAAGCTATCATGTTGCAGTTTTCGTTGGTCTGTTGAGATTTAGTTTCTCTATTTGATCGTGCTATAATATGCATACATTTCATTTTAAATTCACGATATCTATTGATACTCCAAATAACGTCGACAGCCGTTCTTACTTGTTCACCTGGTATCTAATTATATTTTATACAAACGTTAAAAAATGACAAGGTTCGCGTATTGATAACAAATTGCAAAGTGACACTTTTTTTCAGTCTCCAACGTTACCACAACACCATGTGCGAAGCAGTGCGCGAAGTACATACTTCGTGCATTGTATGTAAACTATATTGGGCTTTTATATTTCAACTTCATGGTCCTCAATCGAGCAAACATTCAAGAAATCATTAGTTTCTTAATGTTTAACAATATCATCTATTGGACCGCACGAAAAGAAATTCCTATAATGTTTGTGGATCATCGTGCTTACCTAAGAAGGATTAGGAGAGGCCGTTTAAGCCAGTTCAACACTATTATTTATAGTAAGCTAAGAATATTACTACTTCAGAACTATATTTTTTGACGTTTTTAGAAAAAATATTTTTTGCAACTCGTACGCGAAATACTTTGGCAATGTCGAATATTTTTTTAACTCAGTGAAAAAATCAGTTCTCGATCACCAAAGTGGCATTTCGCGCACTAGATACAAAAATAACGATTATATACAATACAACAACGAAATAATACTAGTAATAATTCCCTTAGGAATTTTATAATACAAATATAACCGTTATTCTGGGATGAGAAATAAAGAAGAGATTTATGCCGATGATTCATTAAGTATGCAAGTATGAAAACATTTTATTTTATTCTCAAATATACTGATATCAGGACTAACTGATATTAGAGCTATTTATTATTTCCTTGTGGAGTGTTCTCACTTCCCGCTCTCACTTATGTAATATTATAGATATGTTCAGAACGAAACAGAAATTTATTAATTTTGATTGAAATATGATGGTTGAAAATAAAATAGCATATAAACCTCGGTAGGAAGTTTCATTCCTGTCTCGAGATCATAGATAACCTCGACGCTTTGCGTCTCAGTTAACTACTAATCTAACGACAGGAAATAATCTCTTCCACCTCGTTATGTAATAGTATTATTTAGGCCAATATAAGTACATACAGGTTCTATAAAGACGTTATTATGCAAATTAACCTTGTTCGATTTCTAGAATATTCTGAATGGGCAGTATCTTGGCTACATTGTATATGGTATCAGTTGAGGTTCTGTAATCAAGCCTGAATAAAATTTTCACTACTTCGTTTTGAAGTGTTTTTATTTTTATGTAAGTACGAGAATTTCAGAAAATATCACTTGAAATTCAAATGACACTTTCTGAAACACAATTGGCGCTTTCTGAAATAAAATAGACGATTTCGGAAATTGAATTGACCATTCTGAAATACAATGGGGAAGACCACTGATTTTTTAAAACGACATTATCATGAACTCTATACTGAAAAACTACCAGTGAATTAATTTTGAATTTTTTCATTCATGCTAAGACGAAGAAAAAAATAAATTAGTATATGTCCATTTCCAAACACACAATTCCTGCGCCATTTGAAATTTCATCAATTCATTGGTGTGACTGGTGCGACGCAGGGGCGGACTGGACCTTTGAATCGGCCCGGGCGAATTAAACTTTACCGGCCCACCTTCGGATTAAATTTCGAAGCTACTATAGCTATTCATAAAATTTCATCAAGTATTTTGGTAACATATAGGAACAAAAGCGGAAACAAATATTACAAATAGTTTTCATTATAATAAAACTCAAACAAAAAAACTGTCAATGAAACATCAAATATACTAAAGAAAAATGAAATAAATAACATTTATAAAATTCTATGAATGAAAAATAAAAATAAATGATATAAGCGATATTTCAATGGTAGATGAATAGCACCTTGGTGAATAATATTAAAGCTACAAAAAGACTGGGAAATTTATTAATCCAAAACAAAAAATAAAACATTAGCCGCATTAGAAATTGAAATAAATAAGCGAAAAGGGAATCTCTTATGGATCCATCACATTTTTCAACGAGTTGAAAATTATATTGTCGCTTCCTATTGATATAGAATTGTCTTTTTCACACCTAATGATCATGAAAGCCTCTAAATTTTCTTGGCATAGAGAATGTATTGCCTATTCAAAATGAATTTTAATTTTGAGGAAGCTATTTCACACGATACCTGCGACACTGAAGGAGTAAGAATATATTTATGATTTTTTTTTTAATTTGGATAGGCCTCGACGTATAAGTTGTATTTGTGCGAAATATGGTAGCAACAAAATAAACATTTTTTGCAGAACTTGTGCTGTGATGAAATCAATTCCTCTTCTACATCGAAGACATGAGTTCCACCATCCATCATATCTTCTGATAAAGTACTCGACAGTCTTTCCCACTTCGAGGCAAAATCTCTTCGAGGCAAAATCTATCAGTTCCAAATGTGAAAACTTCACAAACGACAAGATTTCCACTTATACTGGTAAAATGAACTAAGTTCATTGTACCAGTATATCACCTGACGAAGCTTCTGTGTTAGCGAAACATGTCGTGTGTTTGAGAATTTTGTGGAAATCTTATCGTTTGTGAAGTTTTTACATTTGCCATGGATTTCCATCAAGTAACGGCCGAGTCAATTCAAAATTTATCAGTTTCATTTGCAAACTGTCAAGGCTTATTTCATCGGCAGGATAATAATTTTTGACCTTTTCATAATCCTTCCTGGTTGAGTTTTCAGTTAATATTATTTGATCATCAGTAAATCCTCACATTTAGAAATAATGCTTCTCTTTGCATCATACAGAACTTTTGATGTAGCTTTCTTTGCAGTATCTATGAATATATTTTATATTCTTTCAACATTTCTACCGGCCCCAAAGGGCACCGGCCCATCGGGCGATCGCCCTTCCGCCCGGCCTCCAGTCCGCCTCTGGTGCGACGTCTTAGTACCCAACACGCCTATTGTCCTTGAACTAACCAATTACACTGCAACACTGCAGAATGACGAGGTATCAGAGAGAGATAGCTACAGTTCGGGACTAATACGTCACGACTCCACCATCATATTTGGCTGTTTGAAATATCGAATGAAATATGCTGATTCCAAAACGATATAGATTCGATTCCCTTCAACTTCAACTCATAATATTGATTGTACATAAAATGTAAATCATGATTCGTCGATTGAAAGAGGTTTGCACGGATTTCTTCCCTCAGTGGTCTTCCCCATTGAAGCTTTCTGAAATACAAGTGACTATCCTGATATACAATTGAGGCTTCCTGATTTTCAATTGACTATCCTGATATACAATTGATGCTTTCTGAAAGACAAGTGACTATTCTGAAATGCAACTGACCCTTTCTGAAATTGAATTGACGATTTCTGAAATACAACTAGAAAAGGTGTAGTATGATCAATAATGTAAGTTCAGATGTGAATAAATGATAATAATCATTTAGGGCAGATGAGCTATTCACCTGCATATCCTCGAAAGCTTGACCGGTGACCTCCATCTCGTTGAGCAGCGCCTCCTCCTCGTGCGACCCCACGAACGGTCGCATCTGGTGCAAAGCAGCATGCCCTCCGCCCCAGCTGCCGTCAGTGGGCTTGTGACTGGCCACCTGCTTCTGCAGCTCGTACTTCTGCTCCTCAAGCTGCTTGATCTTCTTCAGCGCCTCGTCTTCCGCCAGCTTTCTCTTGTCGTCCCTCTTGTTCTCCTAAACATCGAAGTTCCTCAATGTACTTGACACTTGACAAGCAGTGACAGTAAGAGATATAACCATCAATATATGAAAAAAGAAGAAACTGACAGTACTCTCGTACTTCTACTCCTCCAGCTGCTTGATCTTCTTCAGTGCCTCGTCCTTCGCCAGCTTTCTCTTGTCGTCCCTCTTGTTCTCCTAAATGTCAGAGTTCCCCAATGAAATTGACACTCGATAAGCAGTGACATCAAGACAGAACCAAGAATAAAAAAATTAAAAAGAGAGAACTGACAGTACAGTCGCACTTCTGCTCCTCCACCTGCTTGATCTTCTTCAGCGCTTCGTCCTTCGCCAGCTTTCTCTTGTCTTCCCTCGTGTGTAATGCGCCTGGGGTTTCGACAAGCTACATACTACTTGTAAGAATATAATTTGTTTTAGTTTTAAGTTAGAGTAAGATGTGCGCGATTTACTGCACCGAGTATACTTCATATTGTTGTGCGGAGGGCAGTTTTGGCAAAGAGGCAAGGTCGTGAGGGGAAGGGAGATGTTTTTTGCCTGGCAACAAAGTGGCAGTTGCGCTAGGAGAGTCAAGCGATAATTATACCCTGGAAGAATTCCAGAGACCAGTGTTAGCCGTTCCTCACGATCAAGGATCGAATCATTGAAGATATCGATAACCACACTCCAATTTCAGTGAACATAGTGGTACTATGAGTAGGCAGTTCCTGATGCTGGTTCGACTGATTCAGGAAGTACACTCGCATTCAAAAAAAAGCGTACAAGTATATTACAGAGAGAAATTAACGTCACCCTATTCTGCATAAAACGGGCTATCGGGAATGATTGTTTACCAAATGTTGACAGTAAAGTTGTCATAGGTTCTCAAAAACACAAAGCGTTGGCTGAGCCAGTTTAACCCAACTAGAACTAGGATCCCGAAATCCTCTCTTTTTAATACTTGTACGCTATTTCATTGAATACGACTGTATATATACTAATACCAGGTGTGCTTAGTACTAAAAATATAGGTAATACAGCAAGTCAAGTTGGTTGCTGTTTACCCAGGTAGTAGTTACTGGCATTCTGTTTTTTATAACAAGTCGGCGAGATGAGCGTCGAAGTATTCCGAATGGGCAGTATTTCACTTTTTTTGTCTCTTGCCAATAATTAACCTACCTGAAATTACATTATGTGAACTGAGATTACTGAAAATTTTGCGAGTACCTATTTACGTGTTCCGGGCGAATTCGATCGGTGACATTATTCGTATAATTGTACCTATTTCTTGTTTGTCTATAAATGTCAATGTGTTTTTTATTGAAATGATACTTGTATTAGTGTGTACGCTTTTCTTTCTGAAAGTTTGAGTGACCCTCTCCCACAACCCTGAATAAAATATTTAATTTTTAATTTAATTACAACGTAATCCACTGAGCATTGCACGTGTTCTCCTAAATATCGAAGTTCCTCAATGTACTTGACACTTGACAAGCAGCGACAGTTAGAGATAACCACCAATATATGAAAAAAGAGGAAACTGACAGTACGCTCGTACTTCTTCTCCTCTAGTTGCTTGATCTTCTTCAGTGCCTCGTCCTTCGCCAGCTTTCTCTTGTCATCTCTCTTGTTCTCCTAAACGTCAGAGTTTCTCAATGTACTTGACACTCGATAAGCAGTGACAGTAAGACAGAACCAAAAATAAAAAAATGAAAGAGAGAACTGACAGTACACTTGTACTTCCGCTCCTCCTCCTGCTTGATCTTCTTAAGCGCCTCGTCCTCGGTCAGCTTCCGCTAGTCGTCCGCTTGTTCTCCTAAACATCTGAGTTCCTTGATGTACTTACCACTTTTTTCTGACGACTTTGTATATTTAGAAGAAGGACACTGTGACAAGCAGTGACAGTAAGACATAACCCTACATGCTTTTGAAACAGATCATATATTCTGCCAAACAAGAACATAAATATCTTTTTCGTCCAGATGAAAGCCACATTCTCATCCCATTTTTCACATCAACAGAATGGAAGAATATTTATTCAATTGCAAAAATTATATAAATGTTCAGCCCCCACCCACCAACAGTTAAACGGACATTGATCTCACGTCTAGATCAGATGGACAATCGAATTATGTTTATTGATAGATACAAGAATACTGGCTGATGAAATATTTTTGATCCATGAAAAGAACTTCAAAATATTGAACTACCTGCATTTTTTTCAACGTCTGTCTGAGTTCTTCTACATCGGTGCGAAGTTTTTTCTCTGCAGCCATCATCTGCACTTTATCTCTCTGTTCTTTGCTAACACCTTTGTACATGTCCAAGAGTAATTTCATTTCTTTCTGTTCGTTGAGTGCTTTCCTGCAAAAATTGTCATGATAATGAAATATCTTCGATCAAATTAGAATTATTTCAACTTCTTCTGATGCATTGCTTATTGGAACTGTTAGTTTGATTTTCTGCCGGAGCTCAGAAAAGTGAAACGAGAGAAAAGTATTCGGTATTAATTTTTATCAATTTTGTCTCCCACATTTTTATATATATAACCCTGTATAATCCAGACCATGATTCCATGATTTCTTACTTCAACTGATTCTTCAGATCTCGAACTATTTCGCTTTCTGCTATTTTCGCTTCTTTGCCCCGCATGGCGTCACGATGTTCCTTCTCCACTTTAACAGCGCCCTCTTTCTTGACGACGGTCTTCTCTTGTTTCACCCCCTCCTTTTTGGCAGAAGGTGAACCGGAAGCCGACGCTTGGTCCTTGTTTCCTTCTCCGTCTTCCGTTTGCTAGAAGAAAATTCAGTAATATCAGCTGAACAATGGGGAAGGTTCCTTTTGATGAATTTCCATCAAATTAATTACTCAAAACACTCGAAACGTAAAATCGATATTTTTCGATCAATTTTGAATAATCGGAATACTTCCATGACTCAAAGTTGAATATTCCAAGAAAATTGTAATTATTCCTGGCAACCGCGCCCAAAACCAGTTTTACACCATACCATGCTGATAGCTGCGAATTGATTGAGGTTATGTTTCCATTGTTTATTATTGTAGGCTAACCATACCTGTGATTACAAAAATACTTCTTACCTCAGAGTCATCTTCTTCTTTTTTCACTGTCAAATTAGGTTCTTCCTTAACTTGTGCCCCATCACTGTTGGACGTATCTTCTTCTTTGATTTCTTCTTTCTTGATCTGTTCTTTCTGATCCTGGTTGGCTCCCTGAGCTTGGTTCAGTTTCGCCTGAATCTCCTCAATTTCCTTCCTCAATTTGGGTATTTCTCCGTTAGCCTCCTTATATTTCCTCTTGTATCTAAACAAACAAGAACAATTCACAATTATCGGTGAATCATAATCCATTGATGTACCGGTCGTACAACTAAGAAGGGAACCGTTTCTCTGGAATTATTTTCACGTTCCCAAGATGACCGCCAGAAGCAGTATTTGGATTGGCCAGTTAAAAAATCGTCTGTCAAAAAAACTCTTTTAATGAAAAAAATTTGCTCCAGGTCTTCAAATTGGAGCTCGAGGAGAGGATGAAAAGTGCTATAAAAAACAGTTATATCTCTAGTTTGGTGTAACGAAATTTAACAACCTTAGTCTCATTGGCCAGCGTAGCCTCGTGGTTGAAGCGACAGTATTCTATCCACGTTGGATTGGCGGTAGGTGGGTTCGATTCCGACCGCAGACATTTTTCTGATGCCTAAGAATGTGTTTGGAATCAAACGTTAAAAGGTAAGACCCCCGTCATTCCTTGCTCGCACTTGTCTCTTGAAGACGTTTGAGGGTTGCTCGTAAGGGGGCAACCGAATGATGGATAAGTACAATTTTAGAACAATTTAGAACAATTATAAAGAGTTAATTCTGTTCTTTCATATATATGAATTTTGTGGCGACCGCTAGGGTCCGTCTTTCCTGAAAGTTTCAAATGGAATCTTGATTAGGATAATTCAAGTTGGAAAGGACCCCGCACGAAAACACGGGAAATTGGCTCTCGGTCGAATTGGCTGAAATTATACTATGTTGTTGTGGGATTGCTCATCAGAAAAATATGTGAGTTTGAAAAGTTTTGTATGTTTAGTTTCTGAGATATAAACCGACAAAGTTCGTAAAAACGTCGTATCCGGGTAGGATTGACAAAGAAAAAAAACTGTTTTTTAGTATGAATAAGACAAAATAAGCTAGAAAATGTGTTGATCGGAACTCAAATACATGTCTAGTTATGATCACATAAATCATAGTAAATCAGGGTGTATACGAGGCACGTTCAAAAAATTAATTTTTCGGAAAAAAAAATTCGAGCACTATTCCAATATTAACAAGTTATATTTTGGTGAGACATTATAGTTTCAGTCTATTGTAGGCTTCGAAAACGTATTTTCATTCTTGAAAACTATCTCTGTTCGAAATATGAACTCTTTGAATTTTGTGGTACACCCCGTTTGGAAAACAATGGACAGATTGCTTTTGATCACAAAAAAAGGGATTGAGATACTTTTGATTTATTGAAAGCTGAGTTAATTCACTAGCGGATCCAGTTGTTCAATATTGCTTTTCATTTAGATACAGGGTGTGTTAGATTTTGTTGAAGATTATTTAGAATGTTTCAATTGAATATCTCGAAAACAGTTTCGTTAATTTGGATCTCATTTTACTCACAAAATTTTTTTAATAAGTTGACTATCACATGCAAAAAGTTTTTCAATTTTTTATGTTTTGTTCCTGAGATATGCATTGTTGAGTTCACAGTATTACAGGTATTATAGGGTTATTACCTCGGATATTACTATCGATTCAACAGAACTTTACGGAATCCATACTGTTGAGTTTCATATTGTTTTTCAATGTGGTTAGTGTTGTTTATAGTAACAAATTATTGATTTCTAATAGTTTCATAATGTAATTGAATGTTCGAAAGATTCCGTAAAGTTCTGTTGAATTGATAGTATCAATCAATCCCTTTCTTTGTGATCAAAAACAAGCTGTCAATTGTTTTCAAAACGGGGTGTAACACAAAATTCTAGAAATTCATATCTCGAACTGAGATAGTTATCAAGAATCAAAATACGTTTTCGAAGCCTACAATAGACTAAAACTATGATGTCCCACAAAAATATAACTTATTGGTTTTGGAATAGTGCTCGAATTTTTTTTTCGAAAAATGAATTTTTTGACCGTGCCTCGTATGCACCCTAATTTACTATAATTTATGTGATCATAACTAGACATGTATTTGAGTTCCGATCAATACATTTTCTAGCTTATTTTGTCTTATTTATACTAAAAAAACAGTTTTTTTCTTTGTCAATCCTACCCTGATACGACGTTTTTACGAACTTTGTCGGCTTATATCTCAGGAACTAAACATACAAAACTTTTTGAACTCGCAGATTTTCCTAATGAGCCATCCCGCAACAACATAGTAAAATTTCAGCCAATTCGACCGAGAGCCAATTTCCCGTGTTTTCGTGCGGGGTCCTTTAGATATCTTTTTGGGTTGCGGTTTTCACTATTTGTGTTCTTGTGTTCAATTTGAAATTTTCAAGAAAAATGGCACTGCCTGAATCATCAACGGCGCCCTCTAGCGGCCGCTACGTGGTTCGACTATTGATTTTTGATATATTTGATACGAAGTGACAACACCATTTGACTTTCTATACATCTATCTCAAATGTATGTCAGGACGATTAATACACAACTACAGTATAAAGACATTGTGGTTTGAAAAAGAAACGACGTTGTGTTGAGAGAACTCGAAAATTATCTGACGGTAGTGACGGTGACAACTGTAATCAAAGTGTAGAAGTGTACTGATTGAAAGCAAGGAATATGTATCAGTTATTGGGAAAGCTAGGTATCTTTCTTATCTCTACCAATGCTTGGTGATTGGTCCGTCTTAGGAAATGAAAGAAATCTAATTGGATCTTGGAATAGGCGTGTATCAATCAATGAAAGAATGCTAAGAAGTAAAAACTCGGGGCTTGTCAGAAAGGGCAGATAACATCAGCAAAAAAAAATCAGGCGCCGTTTCTTTTTTCTTTTCGAGCACGACTGTACCCACCTGTGCACTTCTCCCTTCAGTTGTTGGGTGTTGTTTTGCAAAGAGGTGATCAGGTGCCTCATCTCTCTGTTAATCGGACCAGTTTGCTCGTTAGCCGCCAAATTCTGTTCAAACTCTATCCTCAACATTTCGTATTCCTTTCTCAGTTGGGCGAGGAAATCTTCCAATTGCATAACCTCTTGCCTCAATTTCTTTTGTGCGATGAGTTCCTCTCCCTAGATTTTCGAAAAGAAGAAATGTATTTTTGCAATTCTACTGATTTAACGTATATTCCAAATTTATTTATACAAAATACAATAATATTACAAACTTATTTATACAAATTAGAATTTTTTCCACAAACATTTTGGGCAGTGCCGTGATTTAGAAATCAACGGGATCGATTATGCCTCAATTTTGCGAGAGTTGCAACTGTAAATTAGTACTAATTTACCATTGCAACTTCTCATACGGAGGTTGTTCAAAGTGCTCGTTCCAACTAAAATTTCTACGCTGAATTACTAAGTAATTTTATTCAGAAAATTCCTCACCAGTGATTTTTATACTGTTAAATTTGGCTTTTATGATAAATTACCATAGCAACGTAGGTATGCGTACCCACCGGCGTATGAAATAGGAAACTTTTTGATGACGTTTTTGCGGAAACTTGTAAATACCGAAAATTTCGTGGTTATTGAAGAATTACAAATACTTTATTAGATCAGTTGGTATTGGCTTGCCGAAAAAACAAACGGGTTTGTTATTCTCAAAGAAACACTCCATGAATGTGGTCCGCATTCAAAAATGTTCGTCCCCGCAGGTTCCTTTGTTCACCTTGCTAATGCAAAGCTAACTGATGATTTGAATTTCTTCAATAACCTCGAAAATCTTGGTTTCTGCAAAAGCTGGCCCTCACTTTTCAACGTAGAATTCACTGGTGAAGAGAAAAAATAGTGTTACAATTTGAAAATATAGAGTATTCGATTTTTTTGATAGAAAAACTTTGCTTCAATTTCTCTGTAAGATATTTTTGAAAACTTTTCGAAGATTTGGTCTCATTTATGTAGATCCTGAAAATATCAGGCCTGATAAATTTTGATTTCGAAAAATATTGTTTTAAAGGTTTTGCGCCTGTCAAAAATTTCGAAAAATCTTCAATAATTGAAAAATGGCGTACTCTAGACATACGATGTTGAGGTCCATTGTATTACAGGAAGTTGCAGAAAACTGAAAATATTCTAGTAGAAACGGAAATCCTCCGTATAAAAAATTTCACAAATCTAGCCTCATGATTTTTGTATATTTATACATATCGACTCATTTGGCCGTGAAAGACCCTGTACATCTTTAGTAGGACTGGATTAATGTGGTATTTCTGCGATTTTTTTTTTGGTATTAGAATATTCAACTAATCTCCAATATTTCATTTTGAGGTATATATTGTTAAAGGATTAACCTCTGAATTTTCGCGGACACTCTGTATATGGAATACTGATAAAAATACTACAAAAGAAAAAACGTAACAAGAATTGATTTTCATTAAAATTTACCTCCATCATTTCTATATTTCTCAGATGAGAGTTCTTGCTTGTTTGTACTTGCTGACGAGCCTCATCCAACTGTGTTTTCAACTGCATAGATTCATTGTATAGTACTGAGAACTGGGACTGTAGGCATTTATATTCAGTGGTTTCGACAATAACACTCTCAGGTAATTGACGAATCTGGAATGATGGCAGATAATGATATGTTAGTTCTCTAAAAATCCTTGGACAAATCGACTCAGTGAAGTTTTCTGAATTTTCCGTATGTTAATTATTTTCTCGGGATTTGAAGGTGCCAAGTGCTTTCCTTTTTCTGCTCATATTATTACGTACTTCAATATCACTCAATATTCATCAGATGGTTCAGATTATGTCATTATTTACAGAATGCTCAAAGAATAAAATGGGCCACTCAAATTTTGGACGTTTTTCAAGATGAGATGACTTTTTTGGAAATGAACTAATTTGTGGTGTTCAAAAGATTAAATGTAATCACTTGTTGAGAATCGAATCAAATTTGTTCCGAGATGTTGGCAATGAATCTGAATTAAATATTCATTATTTCACAAGCTTATGATTGTAGCAGTTTCAATATCTGCTGCTGGTATAGCTCAGTTAATATTGGTCTTATGGAGAGGTTGAAATGGGCAAAAAGTATTTTTTTATGGCCATTCAGGATCTAGTACTAGAAAATGCAAAAAAGCATCGTAAAACTGAAAATTTTACATATACTGGTATTTTTAAATGGAACATCCTGTATTTTATTTCGTTAATCGATAGAGCTCTTTCTTCTGATTTCAAATATATATACTTAATTGAGGTTATCTCTGTGAGTTTTCGAAAAATATAGATTCTGAGGCAGCTGTAGCAATATCTGACTTTCAACACCTGCCTTAGTTCTATGCCAAAAAATCTATAAAACTGACAAAAGGTAACTTCAATAAAGTATATCTATTTGGAATCAGAACAAAGAGCTCTACACATTGGGAAAATAAAATACAGGGTGTTCCATTTCACAGACACCACTTTAGTAAAATTTTTAGGTTTATGATGCTTTTTTGCATTTTCTAGTACTAGATTCTGAATGCCCATGAAAAATACTTCATTTTTTTCCATTTGAACGTTTCTGTAGGACTAATATTAACTGAGATAGCTATTGAGTAGAATATTAACAATCAACCCGAACCTATAACATTGAAATAAATGTTACTAAAAATATGGATTACACAGTTTAGTCTTATCTTACGGAAAAAGTCTATGCTACAGAAGTAAGTTCAAAAATATGAAAGAATAATGTATTTATGAAAACGGGCGACATTTTGAACAATTACTCTAACTGATTCAATATTTCGAGTTTTATGTTAGTTTTTGATGGTTATGATTATGATTTGACACTTTTTGAATGTCATAATGACGTTAATTACCGCACTAGTGCGATAATATAATGATAAATAAATGTCAAATAAAATAAATCGTTTATTGAGTGAATACAAAGAAAATTCAAATAACACTTGTCGCCGCATTATCAATATCAGATGGTACATCATCTTCACTTGAAGACATTTTCACTCAAGAAACTTAATGAGGGTTCTGGATATCCATCTGACAATTTGATCTAACATCTACAAACGGTTTCGTTTATACCTACCTTTGCATACGGCTTCGTCGTGCAATCCTCACGTGCGTGCGGTTAATAATGTCTATATCCCACTCTTCATGTAAATAACTAATATCAATTCTGACTTCATTATTTTCGAATCAAAATATTCCGAAAACGGTACACAGTATCAAGTTTAACCAAGAGTGCCTTCTAGATGTGAAATTGAATGATGTTCTAGTACACATAAAATGTGGACTTAAAACTATACCCTCAAAAAAATTATGTTTAAAATAACTTGGTACGAACCGTGCAACTAGCGCCCTCTACGAGTGTAAAATATTAAATCGAATGCATGCGATATGTCAACTTCCAAAACATATCTAAACACAATTTCATTAAAATGTTACCAGTTGTTTAGACATAATCGAAAAAAATGTGTATGAATATTGTTTCTTCAACACCTGGTATTTTGAAATATGTTAACTGAGCAAACCCAACTTATTTTTCAGTGCTTCACCTACCCTAGCAAGGAGGTTGATACACCCTGTATAATAAATACATCATTCTCTCATCAACACTGTCCCATGAATTCAGTTTCCTACTATAGGTCGCGTGCACGATGATCGACCCTGGAGGTAAAACATGGAAACACAACCTCACTTTTTCTGTAAAACATTGAGTCACAACCTCACTTTTCTCATTTGTTTACAACGGAATCAAAGAATTGACATAGTTTTCCACAATATTTTGGCATACGAATCATGTTTTTTGGGCTATTCATTAATTCAAGCATGCCATCACATTGTGCTTTTGTACAGTGCACAAAAAATGTAGCGAGAGACGATCGAAGGAATTTGATATTTCAGGTTAATAGTGATCTTACATAGTTTTCATTATGAAATTTTGTCATTTCTAGTAAAAATTCCTTCTGCCACTTCTGCAAAAGAAGCTTAAAATACTGCTAAAATTGAGGGAAAATGTCTACAACACACACGATCATATTTCATCTACATGTCAGACCAGTCCTCCCGTTTGATTGCATGAATCCAATATTCTTACCTTCTTTTAGAAACTTCATGAGCATTATTAGCTACTATTGCAGAAGGAATTCCAATGAGAAATGACAAAATTTCAAAATGAAAACTATATGTGAATGACTACAGTCGTACTTTTATATCACAATGTACCTACCTCACCTACCTGAAAAAATAGATTCCTGCGTCTCTCGCTGCATTTTTTGTGCAATATACAACAGCACCATGTGATGGCATGCAACTCATTACTGGTTTCATAATTATTGATTGAGGCATTTACCGTTTGCATGACGAAGTGAAGAAACATGTGTTAAAAGAGCACTAAGAAGCTTCTTGAATAACATTCACTTCTTCAAATATCAACTTTATTCTCCGACAACACCCTCACAGCTCTCTAGTCAAAACTGTACTGGTCATCCGTCCTATTCCCTGTCACCTCTCTTATCTAGCTTATGTAACTTCTTAATCATGCATTCAATATATCTTAGTCATAAAACCAGCACCCGTCGATATTCTGAACAGAATACGGGGTGATGGTACTGAATCACAACATATACAGTGTGATTCCAAATTCGATACTTTTTTCAACTATATGTAGAGAACTCGCTAAAAACAACTTTTTCAGATCTCTTCAAGAAACTGAAAAATAAAAAAGAAACATTTTTACAATACATGTCCAATACGGTTCTGTCTAGTTTGAATAAGGTGTTCAACTAACTGATCGGTTAAATGCCTGATCGATGAGACAAAAGTCCGAGCTGAAAATTAAACATAGACATCTTGATACAGGTGCTCAGATGTACTTTTTTATTCTGTATTTCGATTATTTTTCAGTTTTTTTCAAGTCATTTGTTTGAAAAAGTTGTTTATTCTAACGAGTTCTATACAGATTTAAAAAAAGTATCAACTTACGAACCACCCTGTATAAATAATAATAATATTAATGATACTAATACTGCTGATTAATGAAACTTGCTGGTCAAGTCTGGAGTGTTTTTAATACATGTTCACTTACATTCGTCTAGTGGACAAGATTTTCCACAAATGATGAAACATGTGAAGGTGGATATAACAATAAATGTAACATATATCTACAGGGTGAAGATTAGAAATAACAATAGCACGTATATATTTCTTTAATCACCTGGAATTTGAGGGCTCAAATTCTGAAATGCCCCACCTGACGGCAACAACTTGAACACTTCTGAGCGGTTTGTTTTAAAGGATTGACCAATAATCACAAACGAAAAACAAATGTGAACCAATGGAAACAAAGTGAACATACCGCTTTGACAACTTTCAAAAACCTCGATAGGTGGCGTACGTTTATTTTCTATGGCGAATAGGAGATGAAAACATACCTTTTGATGAAAAAAACGACTCAAAGTTTCAAAATTGCGGCTGAGCACCATCTTCAATTTTTTTTTTTTTTTTCAATGGAACATCCCGTATATTGTTCCATTTTCGAAGTTCACAAATCTGAATTTTCAACTACCCTGTATTCGTCTAAATTAAATATCATTAGATAGTAAATCAAAAGTTAAGATAGGGACATGAAAGCCGTTTTGACCGATAATGAATAGTTTCGACTCAAAGGAATCCAAAAGTTAAAAAATCTCGATTTTGAAGACCCTATATCTCTGTAAACATTTCTGATAGACACCAAGTAGTGTGATGCATTGATGAAAGCAGCTCTTCAGGGAGAATCCAGAAATGCAATGAAATACAAGGTGCTCCATTTGAAAATCGAGAGTTGTTGCCCGGTACGCTTGAAGATTTCAACTTTGGAATATGATGATTGCAGAAAAATTTCTCCCCCGCCAAATTGAAATCAACCTGTCCGAGCGATTTTCAATTTTTTTAACGACATCGGAGATTTGAGGGTGACAAGTTTTAGCTGGGACACACTGTACTAATAGATCGAGATATAGATAGTTGAGTGAATTTTTTCGGTTTAAGCTCTGCCGAAATTGAAAACGAACTACCAATGAAAAGTGTAAAAGATTGATAGCAGTGGATTTTTACAGAACTTACATCCATTTTCAACTTCTCAACCTCCTTCAGAGTCTCCCTATGAGTCTGATGTAACTTGTCCAATTCCTGTAGTCTGTTATTGGCCATCTCTTTCCACTCTTCGATCTCTTTCATGAGATCTTCCAATTTCACCTGAGACACGTTTGTCTGAGGCGCTTGCTGAGGCTTTTGCTCCTTGCCAGCACAGTCCTGCTCATAAAACAGAACAATAATCTAAGTTTGGGTATGGTTTTTTAGCACGGAATGCCGCAGATTTTCTCCCATTTTGAACCTTCCTGCATTCTGTTATGGTTACATTTAGACATTGATCCCATACACGACCACTAGTAACACCCTGTGAAATGTAGGTTGGTGTTCGTGCTAAAGGAGTTCTTACATGAACTGTTTCAGTTCTTTTAGCAATAAGACATAACTAATTGTAAACTTTATAATATTTCCAAATAAATGAATACTGATTATTATGAAGTGTGATAATTGATTTCCTGAATTTCCGATTAATTACTGAAAAGTAAAATTATTGTATTATGCAAAAGCGTACAAGTCTTAGGAGAAAAATTAACGTCATTCTATTTGAGTAAAACGGTCTATAGGTCGCGTGCACAATGACCGACCCTGGAGGCAAAATATTGAAACACAACCTCATTCTTCTGTGAATTATTGGAACACAACCTCACTTTTTTAATTGGTTACAGAGGAATCAAAGGATTGAAATAGTTTTTCACAATATTCTGGCATACGAATCGTGTTTTTTGCGCTATTCATTAATTCGAGCATGCCTTCACATTGCGCTGTTGTACAATGCACAAAAAAATGCAGCAAGAGGCTAAAGAATATGATTTTTCAGGTAAATAATAATCTCACATAGTTATCATTATGAAATGTTGTCATTCCCTATTAAAATTCCTTCTGCCTTCTGCCACTTCTGCAATACAAGCTAATACTGCTAATAGATTGAAAATGTCTACAACACACACGATCGTCAGCTGGTCAGACCAGTCCTCCGGATTGATTGCATGAATCCAATCTTCTTGCATTGTTTTAGAAATTTCAGGTGTATTTCTATTAGCTCCTATCGCAGAAGGAATTCCGATGAGAAATCAGAGAAATTACCAAATTTCAAAAATGAAAACTATATGTGAGTGACTATAGTGGTTACTTACTTTTAATCAAAACGTACCAACCGGATTACTTCGTCTTCCGCTGCAGTTTTTGTGCATTTCCCAACAGCATAATGTGATGGCATGAGCGAATTGATGAATAGCGGAAAAATACGATTCGTATGCCAAAATAGTTGTGAAAAACTATTTCCATCACTTGTAAACAAATAAGAAAAGTGACGTTGTGTTTCAATGTTTTGCCTCCAGCGTCGGTCATCTGACAGTTCTTGCACGCAACCCATTGGAAATGATAATTTACCAAATGTTGACAGTTGTCATAGGTTGCCAAAAATACGAGGCATTGCCTGAACTAGTTTTACACAACTAGAACTAGGATGATGTTAACCTCTCTTTTCAATTCTTGTAAGCTTCTTTATTGAATACAACTGTACCAGTGAATTTGGTGCACTCTTTATGAAATTCGTAAAGTATCAACGAAATTCGTTTAATTCTGATGGTGTACGTGGAACTTCTCATAAATATCACAAACCACATACTCATTGCACATGGAGTCTGTGGAATCTTGATGAATCAAGTGAGATATCATCGAATTCTGAGTAGTATCAACGAATTCAATAAAGTATCGATAATGAAGTCTGGTGTACAAGTTAATTGAATATGTACATGAAATCCTGGTGGATTTCGTGAAACCTCGATGATTCAGTGAAATGTAGATCAATTTAAAGTAGAATCAGCAAATTCAGAGAAATCCCAATGAATTGAGTAAAGTGTCGATGACTTTAGTGAAGTCCTCGGCAGTTTCGTAAAATCCGGATAAATTTAGTAAAATCCTGATGAATTTAATAAAGTGTTGATGACTTCCAAGTAGTATCTACGAATTTAATGAAGTATCGAGAATGAAGTCTGGTGTGTCGATGGGTTTCGAGTAGTATTGACGAATTTCAAGAAGTCTAGGTGGTGTGCTGATAAGATCCGTGAAATAATGAGTACGTTAAGATTCGTTGAAGAAGAAGAACTCCGTTGAAGTTCTCAATAAGTGTATCACACATGAAATATTTGAAATTCCGATGAATGCCGTGAAGAATTGATGGGTTTCAAGAGCTATCCAATAGTTACGAGAAGTTCCGATGATGAAGTCTAATTGACCATTCCAGAACACGTGATTTTGACATGGTTTCTTGAGGGGCACACAAACTATCTGTTAGGTTAGCTTTGATGAGCATCGCCCTGGCCATCCCTGCCATATCCACAATATAATAACACTTTCACCAAACAAACTTATGAAATTCTGTCGGGTTCCAACTCGGATTCCAAGGAAAACGATCCCACTAATTCTGGTTTCATATAACAAATCTTGACAAAATACAATGTTTGCCCCTTAGCAACCGATCAAATGACGTAATTCTGGAATGATTAATAAGCCAGCTCAAGAAATACTGAATGGGGTACTTCACTCCAAGTTGCCAACCTAAAAACCTCTAGCACTGTAGAAGCAATATTATGGTTTGATTGCTCAAATAGCTTTATTTTGGTGAAATCTCATTGTAGGAGTCTACTTGTCTAATGTTATTCAGAAGAAAATTTAGTTTTTGTGAACTTACGTCAATACTGAAATGTCAATACTTTCAATAGTGTCAAGGGTAAAAATTGATAGATCAATGAATCACTAAATGAGTAAGTTCGAATCACGTTCAAATTATGAATAATGATCAAGAGAGTCTCAGGAGAAAAGTGCAAACCTATAATAAACTGGATGTGAGGGTTGCAAAGTTATCTGGTCTGGTGCTACTTTCGACTCGTCATAATGGTAATCAACATGAAATTGTTATTAGGTTTTTATATTTGTTGTTGTTCATTTATAGTTCCTCACTACCCATAATATCTCATGCTATAATAAAACTTGTGATGTTCGAATAGTCTTCGTGATTTCAGATACCCTTAAACTATATGTGTCTAGTTATTTGAACAAAGGGATGTTATTTTGATATTGTTGTATTCCGACATTTGTGTATCTCTATTATTGGAAACTTTGACCAGTTCTTAGCCAAGGTGAGTAGTGTAAGCTTTGAAAGTATTTATTGAATGATTTCTCTTTTCTATTGTTATTTTAATACTAGGAAAATGCTTATTATTACATAGGTATGTTAGAGTTTTTATTTATGATTTCGACTGTGATTCTTCGTTTCCACACAGTTATGGATTCATCCACTTAACGACACCTTCCTTGGGTTAGTTTTCATATCAGGAAAAGGTTGAAACTTCATTATTTTATTGTTACGAAGTCATATCTGGAGCGATTTTTAGCGCACTGAATTGAAATATATATTCCTTACTGCAACGATCAAACTGCTTTACCAAAGAGTGATAAATAATAGTATTGTCAATAAATAAAATAATCTTGAATATGCAACAAAAATGTGACATGTGATAAAATTGACGACAATATGGCAGGTGCAACAACATGCTGGAGTTCACAAAAATTTAATGGTCTTCTGAATAACTGCTACTAGTGACTACTACAATCAGATTTCATCAAAATAAAGCCATCTGAGTGATAAAACTTCCACAATGTTGCATCTACATTGGTAGAGGTTCAGGTTGGCAACTTGGAGCAAAGTCCCCCATTAAAACCTGATGCCTAATTGAATATTGCGAAATTTCAAAAATATCATATACCTGATCCCCGTGAAGCTGATGGTAAGCTTTCAGCTTCTCCACAGCCTCGGCCAGATGCGTCTCGAGCTTGTCATTCCGGTTGCGAACTTTTTCCAGCTCGTACTGCAAATCGTCGATTTGGTTCTTCAGCTCGGCCGTTTCCGTCTCTTTGGCCGTCACCGAGTCCTGCAGCTCGGTCACCTTCAAGCTGTTGGTGTGGTATTTCTCGTGTAACGTCGTGTGCAAAGCTTGCAGGTTTCTGTTCTCGGCCTGGAGTTGGATGTTGGTTTGTCGGATGATTTCGTCGACTGACGGTGCATCCTCTGGAAATAGTGGGCTCGTTTCCAGCATCGAGATTGCGACAATTTCGGGAAGATATACAGGGTGAGGGGTGAGTCATAACTATTGGGACATAGGATAAGGGCGGATTGTATTGGGACATAGGATAAGGGCGGATTGTTTGGACCGAAATATGACGATGATTGACGATAGGACTAAATATGCCTTGATAAAAAATTGCCGTGGAAAAAGATACAGGGCGTTTCAAATAAAAAAAAATAGTCGGTCACCTTCAAGCTATTGGTGTGGTATTTCTCGTGTAACGTCGTGTGCAAAGCTTGAAGGTTCCTGTTTTCGGTCCGGAGTTGGATGTTGGTTTGGCGGATGATTTCGTCGACTGACTGTGTATCCTCTGGAAATGATGGGCTCGTTTCCAGTAGGGTCCCTTGATGGAAATTGACGTTAAAGTCATCTAACAGGGTACGGACAGATCATAGCTGCATTCTTTTTTAATGATCTAGAGACTTTAGTTTTGTCTACTGGCATCACTGACATTGCTGTCACGTCACATCCATGGGCGCAACAGAAAATCGTTCGGAATTTTAATAGTAGGTATGTACAGGGTATTTACTCGTTGAGGAATATCATATTGCGAACGAGTTTTGTAATTATGATCCGATTCTATTCAAGATTAGAAGATATCTGGAGTTTTCCGGGGTTGGAGATAATGATTGTTTCGTCATACTTGGAAAATTCAAGATGACGGATCCAATATATAGCGAAAGAAGTTTCTAACTGTGATCTGATCATATTTAAGATCATTATCTGGGGGTTTTCGGGGTCGAACTTTATGATTTTTTGTCAAGATTGGGAAATTCTAGATAGCGGATCCAATAAAAATCGAAATTGGTATCTGGGGATTTCCGGGGTCGGAGATTATTAATTATTTCGTCAGTATTGGGATATTCAAGATGGCGGATCCAATATGGTGGACGAGTTTTGTAATGAAGGTACGATTCTATTTAAAATTGGTATCTGGGGGTATTCGAGGTAGGAGATAATGATTGTATGGTAAAAATTGGAAAATTCAAGATGACCAATCCAATATGGCGAAAGACATTAGTTTGTATAATTATTACTCTACCACACATAGAAAATATGTAGGATGCAAGAGTGAAAATTGCGTGCCTATAAGTTATACTGCGCATACCTACTTTTCTGTTACTTTCATCAATAAATTATACGAAAATGACTTTTTATTCAAGAAAGACAGAAAAATGAGGTAAAGTATATTCAATTCTTTATTTTCCTTCATATTTTACGTATTTCTTTTCATCAGACTACTTTTCGTCCTAGACGAAGTTTTATACATAGTGTGATATTAGTAACTCAATAAATTCTTCTCCGAGTTGGATTTCCGAAAATATATTTAGTACACATGACATGAGTACCTACAGTAGTTTAGATACCCACATCGAGGTTTCCACCATTTCTCAATCATGAGACTCTGCTCATTCAGCTTATAGACTGCTCAGCTTGAATTCAGAATTCATTCAGTCAATTCAGTCAACCCTGGTATACAGTCCAAGAACAGTCTCTTTTGGTGAAATACATTATAAGCTTCCAGTACAATTTATATGTTCCATACCTCGCAAAGATTATACTGGAGTAGTAAACTCTAAAACAAGAGGATTGTTCTTCTATATCTTGGTATAGTTGAATCAGGAATTTTATATGGAAATTACGTATGATACGCCAGTGACCTCAATATAACCTAAAAAACAACGAATGTCAAAAATCTAGTGTTTATCCCCAGAATTGAATAAGGATGGAACTATATAACTGTTTCACAAACGCTTTAGAGTGAGAGGAGACGAGGATCTGTCCGTACCCTGTTAAGATGACTTTAACGTCAATTTCCATAAAGGGACCCTAGTTTCCAGCATCGAGATTGCGACAATTTCGGAAAGATATACAGGGTGAGGGGTGAGTCATAACTATTGGACATAGGCTAAAAGCGGATTGTTTGGACCAAAATATGACGATAATTGTCGATAGGGCCAAATATGCCACAATAAAATATTGCTGCGAAAAAAAGATAGAGGGTGCTCAATCTCGTGTAACGTCGTGTGCAAAGTTTGCAGGTTCCTGTTTTCGGCCTGGAGTTGGAAGTTGGTTTGTCGGATGATTTCGTCGACTGACGGTGCATCCTCTGGAAATGATGGGCTCGTGTCCAGCATCGAGATTGCGACAATTTCGGGAAGATATACAGGGTGAAGGGTGAGTCATAACTATTGGGACATAGGCTAAGGACGGATTGTTTGGATCAAAATATTACGATAATTGACGATAGGACCAAATATGCCTTAATAATATATTGCTGTGGAAAAAGATACAGGGCGTTTCAATCAAAAAAGTTTTCGGTCACCTTCAAGCTGTTGGTGTGGTATGTCTTGTGTAACGTCATGTATGCAAAGCTTGAAGGTTCCTGTTTTCGGCCTGGAGTTGGATGTTGGTTTGGCGGATGATTTCGGTGCATATACTACAGTAGTTTCAACGTAGTGTATTGGAGAAAAATGATTTTAGAGCAGATTTAGGTCATGCAGACCCGACCCGTTCCTCTGTGTAAGTATTTTTTGTACAGGGTGTTTGGTTCACCGACGTATATCTGAAAGGGGGTGAGAAAATTTCGAACATATTTCACCATATATATACTATTATACAAAGTGTTTCAAATTTCGAGGTATCATCGGCCTTTCAAACACTTCATCTGACCAAATCTCTTTTTTCTTAAAAAGTTGAATACTCATTTCATCGATACTGAACACGAAATGGGATCTCATGTGATGAAAACATTTTTTGGCTCGTTAGAGTTCAAAAAACGATTTTCGTAACATCCAATTCTGAATTTATAAGCTGATTTCTCCGAGGATTTCTCGAAAAGTGTAACACTTTGTATATGTGGTCAACTTTGTTCAAAATCACATAACCTACCACCTCCTTCCGTATATACGTCGGTGAACCAAACACCCTGTATATATCTGAAATAATTTCATCCGTATTTTTGTAATCAACAACTTGGTACTGAGCTTTTGATGGATTACATAAAGAGCAGAGTGAACTCCCAATATCTGCCAAGAGAAATTCCACAGCTTGCAGCTAGAATTAGTGGTACCTGGTGGTACTATGTTGGTTGAAGCATATAGATTAACGACTCTTAATCTATGGTTGAAGTGTCGAAATTTGACAAAAAGTACTTGTGAGATGTGCCTTCTGTAAATATTGGAAAACAAGTTAGACATGTAAAAAATATTTATTCCTGAAACATTTTGTATCTGTTTACCAAGTATGTACCTACGGCAAAATTCTCGTAATAATTATTATACACGGTGTTTATTGCCGTCACCGAGTCCTTCAGCTCAGTCAACTTCGAACTGTTGGTGTGGTATTTCCCTGGAATTAGTAGGCTCGTTTCCAGCATGGAGATTTCGGGGAAATATACAGGGTAAATCCTAACTATTGGGACATAGGCTTAGAGCGGATTGTTTGGACCAAAATATGACAATAATTGACGATAGGATGAAATATGCCTCGATAAAATATTGCTGTGGAAAAATATACAAGGCGTTTCAATCGAAAAAGTATTCGGTCACCTTCAAGCTGTTGGTGTGGTATTTCTCGTGTAACGTCGTGTGCAAAGCTTGCAAGTTCCTGTTTTCGGCCTGGAGTTGGATGTTGGTTTGTCGGATGATTTCGTAGACTGATGGTGCATCCTCTGGAAATGATGGGCTCGTTTCCAGCATCGAGATTGCGACAATTATGGGAAAATATAGCGGGTGTCCACGTAGCGTGGAAAGGCTCAATAGCTTCAGTGTAATAAGAGATAAGACATAATCTTTTCGGGGATATGGAACTATATCGTGAGGTCTAAAAATCTACAATTAGTGTTTCGAGAGCGACACAACCATCAGTCTGGCCGTGTTAGCGACGATGTTCAAATCACCCCGTAATTGAGAAGAACGCCTAATCATCGTGTGATCGAAGATTGAAGCAGGTTGAGTCGATTAGCATCGTAGCATCAGAACAAATCACTTGTCGATGTTGTATTTTTATAAACGGTCATCTTTGTACAAGCCGTCCTGAGTAAATAAAAATGTGTTTGAGTGTTGAAATTGTCTCAATCTACGATGCCTCCTTTATGAATTATGAATATAAATTTAATACACTGTCACTGTTGATGGCGTTTGTTGTGCTATAGTTCCGATAAATAAGCCAATAACACCGTCTCCGAGAAACAACTGAGTCCTTTTATTTTCCATTCGACATCGCGGTTACCTACCTATAACGTGAATTACTAAACAACCACTAAATTCACAGTTGTTAAAAATCAATTCACAGAATTAGAATAAAAGATATTTGTCAGGTGTCATCCCTGTTAAAAACTTCAAATTTCACGTCGATAATTATCTGATTCTAATATCTTCTTAATATCGATTCGTCCTTTTTCCTGTTATAAAAAAGAATAGTGTATTATACACAGGAAAAATATTAGATTTTAACTCACGGTTTTTTCTCTCCTACCGCTACGCGTCGGGAGACAACATAACCTGGAGCAAAAATCTACTACTTTTCTTGAATCATTCTCGCTAGACCCCAAGTGTGATGCATTGATGAAATCAGCTCTTCAGGGTGAATCGAAAAATGCAATTAAATACAGGATACATCCTGTAGAGATCAAAATAATTTTGATTTGTAGACCATATCCCAGAACGATTTTGTCTATTTCTTATTACACTGAAGCTATAGAGATTTCCACACTACGTGGACACCCGATATAGGCCAAACTGAGAGACCCATTGGAATCAGGTTTGAAGAACATATTGCGCATTCAGAGCACGGCTGATTGGATAAATAAAGTTTAGGGGATCATTTGTTTAACCATCATATGCGGAGGGTGATTCTACTAACTGATTCATTAGACGTTTATAGAGAAAGGTGAGATCAACCTGAAATTTTGGTTTCATTTCTAAATTTTGAGTAGCTGAAATGTATGTATCACCAACTATTGAGATAATGAAAGTTAATTCTTGGTAGGACATCAAGTCACATGTCAACTATACATATACATATTATTTGCCAAATATTAAATTTTGAACCATCCAAAGTAAACTTGATGTGACGATACACACGCGCAGAAATTCATTATAATTTGATGTTTCAGTATTTTTTCAGCTTTTCTGGAAACCCTATGTAAATATGAAGTATTATACATCATTTTGAAGCAAAAAAAGCAAATTCAACGAAATGATAGAATACAGGATGTTCCATTGAAAAAAATATGAGTTTGTGTCTTATCTCCAACATCGAACCCCTAAAAAAAATTTTGAGTACACCACTGGATTCTGGGCAAATTTCTCTGTTAGACGTAGTTCTTGGTGCAATATTATTCCTTATAACTACGTATGAATTGGAGGGAACCAAAAAGTATACAATTTCAAAATCGCCCTGTATCTCATCAACAGAAACAGTTATGAAAAATCTGAGTTCCACAAAAAAAGTAGGACAGGAACGTAAGAACGCCAGGTTCTATCTTCAAGAACAACCGAGGTACAGTGTGTCCCAGATAGAACATGTCCCTCCCAAATCTCCGATGTCGTTGAAAAAATTGAAAATCGATCGGACAGGTCGATTTCAATTTGGCGGCGGACACATTTTTCTGCAATTATCATATTCCAAAGTTGAAATCTTGAAGCGTAACAGGCATCAACTCTCGATTTTCGAATGGAGCACCCTGTATGTCATTGCGTTTTTAGATTCTCCCTGAAGAGCTGATTTCATCAATGCATAACACTTGGTGTCTAGCGGGAATGATTACAGAGATATAGGGTGTTCAAAATCGAGATTTTTTAACTTCAGGATTTTTTGTGTCGAAACTATTCATTATCAAAATGGCTTCCATGTCCCTATCTCAACTTTCGATTTACTATCTACTGATATTTAATTTAGACAAATACAGGGTAGTTCAAAATTCAGAATTATGAACCACCCTCTATTCGTTGTGTTTAGAAGTGAAAGGTGGAGTAACTTCTAGCTCATTACGTCGTTCCTAATTCAAAACCATAGTTTTTAAGTTCATGAGCTTGACAAAAATGTGAACGTTCCAGATCCAAAAGCACTCTTGGCATAAATGGTTTTTTCCCAATTTTGGTCAGAAGGAAAGATTAGATCATATCGAATGATACATCATTGTAATCAGAAAAAATAAGACTTTTCAAAAATGCAAAAATCCAATATGGAGCCAATGAGAAAAAACAAAGTTCTGTGTTGTAACTTTGGCATCAGGAACGCCATGGAAAATACGATGACATATTCAGATTCCCTGTAAAAAAGTGTCTTGAGACTATCCCAGTCAGACAGTCTAGGTCGTTTGGTTTTCACTTGAAGAAATTAAAACGAATATTATAAATTTTTGTTTTCTTCCAATAATTCAAAAACTAAAAATGACACATCAAATTTTCTTGCAGATAAAAATGTTCAGCATGCAAATTCGCAACTTTGCCCTGATTTAACAGACCTTGTATGTACCTCTCATAATAACTGAGATCCCCATGGTGGAACTCAAAAAACAGACACCCTGTATGTAACTATTTGATAAACAATCTGTATACAGTGCGTCCATAAATTGAAGCATTAATTTATTATCAGCTAGATAAACAATAGAATTAACAATTTCTGAAACAGGTCGATTTTATGTTTTAATTTACTGTTTTTCAAAATAATAGTCTAATGTACAAGGTGAACTGACTTCGTGTGATGACGTCATCAGTAGTTGTTTAAATAACATGCAGTTTCTTTCAATTTCCGGGTTTCCCCTGTTGGGCTGATTCCGAAATGTATCACAAATCACAAGTTGCTTCCAATTGGTACAGGGCAAAATACAAAAGTTATTCATGAAAATTCAATGGAATGTTACTCTACTATTACAAAATAATGAGAGACTACACAGCAAACCCATTGTGAAATTTCTTGTCTGCTTTTGCTAGTGTTTTTATAACTGATAATGAATTTTCAATTTTTTTAATCAATTTAGAAAGGAAAATCTGGAATTCATGGCGAGGTCAAAATTGACCGGGAGCAGAAAGTTTGACCCATGTTCCGATATGGCCAAAAGAGTCAAGCGTGACTCAATTTTTAACAAAGTTATTGAATAATTTGTCCCCCCGCCGATGTGTAAATACACGGACTGTGCTCTCCGGCATACAACACAGAAGCTCATTATTCCAGGTGAGCTTCGTGCCGTTTTTCTCGAAACCGGGCAAATTTTCGAGAAAAATGATAGGGACCATTTTTGTAGAAAATTAACTGAACTTCAATTTTTATCTGAACCGAAAATCTCTAACTGCCATATTTTAGGAGATATTGGCTGAAAACCTATTTTTCTGGTCTTTTGGGGCCATTTTCTCCGCCATCGCACGCGTTTTCCAGTCAAACTTTGTCTCATGTTTGATGAGGTACCAAAATCTACTTCCAACCAGAAGATGAAAATAGTGCGTAATTAATGTTAACTTTTCCCTTTATTTATTGGACTAAAACAAAATGATGTGAAAAAAATAGTGTAAACTTCATCACATGAAGGTTTTCAGGAGATATTTCATGTCATTAGTTTCAGGAATTTTTAATGGTACCTATTGTTAATTCAGATAATGATAAATTCACTTATAAAGTTAGTTTTCATCTCTTACCTGCTTTTCCAGAACTGATTTCAATTTTCTTACAGAAATAATAACCTAATATGGTATATTTTCTAGATTGAGTCACATAAGAACTAATAGTAATAGGATGAACATCATTCAAAATATAATGAAAAATACAGGTCTTCATTCAAAGAAATGGAGATGATAGGATGACAGAAAAAAGTAATTTTGTAGAAGAAAATTTTTCAAGTTTTTTTAGCAATGTTCTTGAATTTCTTGAATTACTTGAATCTTCGACATTCAAACTTCTCCAACACTTCACTGTACTTCACTATACCAATCATTTCTACCATTTCTACACAGCAATCATTGGTGATTTCACCATTAAAGTCATATACTTATTCTACATTAGATAGGTATGTTCCAGTGCATTCAAGACATACATACAAATACATCAAACTTGAAAATATTTGAAAAACAACAAAATATTGGAAAACACTTAATTTTGGTTTCATTCTTGTGCAACTTTTAATATCATTGTGTCAATTTAATCAATTTCATAATGAATGAATGTACTTGTGTAGATCAGTTCAGCATTATTTGTATGACAAATTGGATTTTTTTCCATTTTCAAAATGCTAATCATGAAACCAAACCACAAGGTGGTCAGGAGAAATAAGAAACACACTGTAGATTGTTGAATATAGGTACTGGACAAAGAATCAACAGTTTCCATAATAGGAACTATAGGAAGTACTTTCAAGCTCTAATTATTATTGCAATAGTAGGTATAAGCTGTTGATCTGAATTCAAAATTATAATTTCTTGTCAAAAGTTTATACTAATTCATCTCCACCAACTGCTATAATGATATATTTATCACTTCTGTCATCAATCAACTGATTGTCATTGGTACATGGTGCATATATGAATTTCCCATAAAATTAAAGCTAGGTAGGAAAGTGTTCCTTGTTATGTGATTTGAATTTCAGTTGTGAATTTGTTGAAACTTACGGCCTTCTAGTTCTCCTTTCAGAGCTAATGTGATTTTCTCATTTCTTTGCATTAATCTATCAAAAGCTTGAATGACTTTTGCAACAGCTCTTCTTGACACTTGTACTCTATTAGCCAACTTATCATTGAGTTCATCCTTATCCCAAGTTGACAACTGCATCAAAAATGAAGTTGTTGCCTCATTTTCATCTGTTAAAGAAGAAATTCAGTATATTTATCAGGGAAATAATATTCAGGTATTTAGTATTTATACTTTTAGTTTCTGATTCATCAGCAGTCTCTGCATCAAATCTTTGTAACAATATGCGAATGTCTTCATTCAGCTGATTCCAATATCTGTTGACTACATTGAGCATAGCATCATCTTGAGTTTGCCTTTTCTCTAACTGTTCAATTCTTTGACGTAGCTCCTGCTCAGTTCTGCATCTTTGTTCAATTCTCTGTAATGATATATAAATTAGAAACGATTGGAACTGAAGGAGGAATACTCAAACTCACCTGAGCTAGTTTCTTATTTTGAAACTGCAATACTTTTATATCCATTTCTTCCAATGTAGAAACTGGTCCAATTAGATGTGGTTCAAAATGGATCTTTTTGATAGGAGGTTGCCCTCCACTGGAACTCTCTTCTGAGTGTCTTTTAGACATTTTTGAAGTATCCCTTTAGCTCTTTATTTCAGATTCCCTAGGTGTGCAGTGTGCACATCAAAACCAACCTACAAATTCAGTTGCCTCAAGAATGATGACTGAATCATCAATGAATGATCAATCAAGAGTGATTATACATCTTGTAAAATTTTATCAAACTCGCGTGAATCTTCATTTCATAAAGGATAATAGCATTTCACCAATTTCGAGATACAACAATATACAATTTTATATTTTATTGCTGTTAATCCTGTTCCACATTCATCAACAAATCAAATCGCAAATCAACAAAACACAAAACATAAAACAACCAGTATTACTGTGAGTCAATAGTCAATGTCATTTTAGTCATGTCAGATGTCAGTTGTTGATTCAACAGTCAGAAGTTGTGACGCATTAGCCATCTTAGTTTTATCTGAGATTTTTCTCTTATGAATGTGATAATGAAGTGTGAATGTAGAAGGAATGTAGTAAACGGTACGGACGGACTGAAAACGGTGGTAGGATCACAACATTTCCTCAGTAGAATTCTACAATGCAGTAAATGAGATTGGCCATTTGCATATTTCTGTCGAAAGATGGAGATACCTGTCAGCCACGTCAAGGTTGGTCGAGCTGATTGATATTTGTGTTATCAGTTCTACCAACCTTGAGCCATGAGGCAATTTAAAACTATAAGCATATAAGTATGTGGTGATCACAGTTTTCGGAAAAAATAAGCAGTCGATTTAGATATTGAGGGAGAAGTAATATACCAGTATCGAATTAATGTTATGTTCATATATGTTCATATCCTTCTCACTACTTTTTAATTATATCTGAGAATGTTCCTTTTCAATACTTTCACATGCTTTCACCCAATCAAGGGGTCCAAACTTAAACTATGGAAACTTTTATTGTTATTTTTATAGACCTCATTCGCAGATTCATGATTATAGAGGTTTCCTCAATTCAAAATTTCTTTCCACGACGTCCTGTATGATGAATATCAATTTATCATACATCCAAAAATACTGATGATGTTTACTAGTGCTTATAGACAGGAGGAAAAAAAATAATTATCGTGGTAGGAGAACGACAGCGCGATTACATTATCGGTCGGCGACCTTTCACTTTTCTATCGATACTTCCACGGCGGGAAATGTTCTTCGGAAATCTCTGCTATCATCCCTTCACTAGCAATACCAGTCAGACGAACTAGACAAGCCCAGTCAGCACATCCCTTCGTTGTCAACCTCGAAAGATGCCGAACAGCACTTTATCAAAACTCCTTCATCCATAGAACGGCTAGGCTCTGGAATTCATTGCCTGTGGAAGTGTTCCCAACAACATATAATCTCCAGAAGTTCAAAAAGAATTCCAATACCTACCTCCTATCCCTATCCTCCCTAGGAACGCACGATGTTCTTTGAACATTATAGGGATTTCCTCTCGTGCGCTCCGAGCGATAAAAAAAAAAAAAAAAAAAAAAAAAAATCATACCCAATCTTCAGGTAGTTGCGTAGTTGCGTAGTTGCTTGAGCATTAGAGCCCCACACCGGCAACCTGGGTTCATGCCTGCGACTCTTTTTATTCTGTTTTCTCGAGTGATTTTCCGAAAAATATTATTTTTAGAGAGACGGTTCATTTAGGCAGACTAAGAGGTTAGTTTGTTTGAGGAAAGTAGCCTCCTTTCTTATGCAGAAAAGATATTTTCCTTCCTTCCTGAAAAAGTACTGTGTTATTGAAGGCAATTATTATGTTGAGGCCGATAGGGATTCGCTATTTCAATGATATGTTTTTTTGTGTGTGTTTATTTTCATTATTTTATTATACCTACCGTCCTATTCTCCTTTGCTTTTCTAAAGCTATATTCCTGAAATTTAAAGCATCGAATATGCTCACTAGAGGGCGCCCTTTCCCACATTTCAGGTTTTTTTTCATCATCCAGTTTTCCTGGAAATGACATTAACTTTTGATTTTCAAATGGGACACCCTGTATTTTTTTCATAAGCGGTTGGAAATTATCATAACAAATTTAACGATACCGGGTTTGATTGGGTTATTTCGAACATTTTCAAGATCACCCTGCATCTGTTCCAATTAAATGTCAGTAAATAGTAAATCAGTGTCAGTTCTTGCTGAAAATATTTCAGAACGATATGTCCTCGAAAATATAGCTGAAGTGTTTCAACGTTTTTACATAATCCGCTTCTGTCGACCTGATCCGCTGTTTCGTTTCCACTGCCCCACTATGTATATTCTCAAATGTGATATTTTTGTTAAACAAAAGTTGGTTGCCTGTATGTCACTATGGTGAATTGTTTCTCGACTTGTATGTGAGAAGCGTTCGATTTCTCCACTATTACATACTGTCCGGTTGAATTCTTTCATATCACGAGAGATTTATGTAAGAAATATATTTTCAGCGTGTGGTGAATTCTTTCATAATATCTTGGAGATTTTCAAAAAAAAATCCACCACTCTCCGTGTTCAATTCTTCATCTGGTGTTTCGTATACTATACAGGGTGTTTGGTTCACCGACGTATATATGGGTCATTCTTCAAAACGGGGACAAATTGACAAGGATATTCAATAAGAATGAAAAATGTATCAAAATCGTTCAATATTCATCCAGTTGTCGTATTTAAACATAATATATCTCATATTGAACAGGCCAAGAATTTGATAATTTTTTAATCGATTTATGCTGAAAAAACTAAAAACTCTTCCCATGGAGTTGATGACCTCACTCATGGAGTTGACGATTTCATCCATGTAGTCGAAAACATTAACATACACACAAAATTTCTTCGATTAATTGACTTAAATACATTCCGTTATCACCTAAAAAATAATAACAATCTCATTAGAGTTTTGTTTTGATCATATAAATGTTAAATATTAGTACCTTCATAAAATGAATGAAGATTCCATGGAGTTGACCAACATAAAAATGATGCAGAAAATACTACATGTGCTTTCAAAAACTCCAAATGAAAAACCGTTGAGTCGTCTAAAAATTAAAAAGTCATACAGTGTGTTAGGAAATTCATGAATATGTTTGTTACCTTGGAAAATTGGGAAAAAATAGAATTTTTTTCGATTATTTGATCCAAAAAACAGCTTTCATTTCAAAGTATCACACATCAAAATTGGATCATCTTTGAAGAGGAATCGATTTCTTCGTAATACCTGAGGATTCGCCACTTTCTTGATTATACAATTGGAATTCACCTCAGATAGATCTTCTACTTGTGCATGGCCAAATGAAAATCAAATTATTTTTGGTAGAGGATACTCGTCTCATGTAGGTTATTTCATGAATAGCTTCATGAATAGCATTCACTTGACCAATATAATGAATTCTTGAATATTTTGGCCACATTACTAAGACGAAGTCATCCTTCTCAAAAAACTGTTTTTCTGGTTCTAGTGATTCCACGAAATCAGGCTCTTTTGTAAATCGGATAAGAGGTTGATCATTTTCTGAATCTGATGAGTACACATCAGCATATCTCAACTTAGCAGCAAACTTTTGAGGAAAACTTTGAGTACATGAATTTTCTGGAATTTCCAATAGATTATCCTCTTTCATGAAATTTGTCGAGGGCAGGTTGTTTGCTAAGTCTGATGAGTACATATTAGTATCATTCAACTCTTCTGAAGAGGTTTGAGGAAGGTTCGGTCCTAGTCCATAATGCTCACAATTCATTTGAAATGAACAATCGGGGCAACTCAGCTTACGCAATCTTAAACAATTTGGATTTTCGATTGACCAACATACGGTTTCAGATTATTGAGAACAAGTTGGTTGAGGTTATCGATTTGTTCTTCAGATACACACTCAATCTGGATTCCGGAGCAAGATTCCTTTAGATGAAATATGAGTTTTTCAAAATTGGAAACATCATATAGCCACATGCTACGAGTCGATGAGCGGTTCTTTTGAGACACCCACCCACCCCATCCACAGCTCCCGTACCATGACCGCTCTCATAGTAATTCCACGAAATTTCGTTCACTTCTAGAATAGAATGTGTATATCGCTTTTTATCACATTCTGTTCAATTGTGATAATTATCTAAACTTGAGTATCATTGAATCTGAGCACATATATGTGATGTGGAATTTCAATCGACGCAATTTTCCGTAGGGAAACAACTCCATGGACTTGTTATTCAACTCCATGGACATCTAAAGACATGGAGTTGATGTCCATGGAGTTGGTGTTCTATGGTTAATATTCAAATATTCACACTGCTATTAAACCTAACCTCAAATTATTTCTCATGCATGTAAGACATTATTAGTTATACATTACTAGAATATTCAAGGAATCTAAATGGACTCAGTCTATTTGTGATCAACGACATGGAGTTGATTGTTAATAAAAATACTCACCTTGATTTCTATCTTTGTCTCCAGAATCCAGAATAAATTGCCTAAAGTTAACACGTTTCCCTGGCAATCTTCAACAAACTGCTCTTGCTTGAAATGATGACACCTTGAAACATTACCTCAGGGACACCTATCGGTAGTTCTGACAAAAATAACAGGCGTCCATGGAGTTGAGTTTCAAAATGGTGTCACATATTATTCATACGTTTAAAAACAACATTTCGGTGAAACTTCCTCTTTGCTTACACTTTCGTATTATTGAATCCCTTGAGAATATATCAACTGAAGAATAGTTTCATAATAGGGTTTATTTAGAGGTTTATGATTGATTTCACTTCATCCATAGTAGCTGGTTACAGTCCATGGAGGTGATTTCAAAGGAGTTTCTGCTTATAAAAATGGAAAAATATATGATTTTTTTCGTTCTTTTTTCAACTCATGTGAAGCACAAGTCATAAGCTATCATCTTCAATGTTTTTCAAGTTTCAACCTATTTGCTATATATTTTTCACATATGAGTTACATCATATTGTCCCCGTTTTGGAGAATGACCCATATCTGAAAGAGACTGATAAGAACATTTCGAATATATTTAACCATATAAAATATTATACAAAGTGTTATTACGAACTTTGAGATATCTCCGTTTGGTCGAACATTTCCTCTAATTGTAATTTCTTATTTTTCAAGAGTTGGATACGATTTTCATAGATATTGAACAAGTAATGGGATACAAATGTGATAAAAATTTTTTTGCCTTGTCGGAATTTTGAAAACGAGTTTCTGTAAAATGCAACTTCATATTTATTACAGCGATGATTTCTTTAAAAATGTAACACTTTGTATAACACAGAAAATATGTTTATATATTTATATTTTCAGAATCACATCGCATACCACCCATGCAGATATACGTCGGTGAACCAAACA